GAGGAAAAGCTTAAAACACCCCTTGGTTGGGCTCTTTTGTGTTTTGGGGAGAAGGGAATGTGGAGTGATCCCATGAAAATTCCTGCTGCCTGGCCACAGAGGGCCAGGCAGTGAAGAATTTGGGATATGTGGTGAGGAGGAGAGTATCTTGGAACGGAGAGCGGGATGTCCAGAGGGTCTGACCCCGCAGGGACGGTACGAGCTGCGTTTGCCTCCCGGAATTCCAGACACTGGGAACAAACCCAGCCTTGGAGAGAGCCTGGATGATCCCTCCATCTTCAGGAAAGGGATTGTCCTCCTTCAGCTCCCGAGAAGAGGCCGGGGAGGCCGGTGCTCCGCAAGAACAGGGATGTTCCCCCCTGGATGAAGCTGAATATCAAGGGATGAGATGAACACTAAATGCTGCTCTCGGAGGGGACCTGGAATTCCCTGTGTGGTTCCCGGCGGATTCCCAGCAGATTCCTGGGGTCTGGGTGCTGCCTTAAGTAGGTTCAAGGGTGAACAAGCCAATCCTGACGTGGTGCCCGTGCAGGGCAGCACTTCCTGCGTGGAAATACAGCTTAAATCCCACAGGAACGGGAAAAGAAAAACTACCTGTGCATCCCACGGATCCGCCGGAGCTCAGTGAGCTCCTTAAGGCCGATTGCAGGTGGGGCAGGATTCCCTCGGGATTCCCCCGGGATCCCCAGCCCCCAGTGGTTCGGGGGGGTCTCAGTTTCCCCCCCCGGCTGGTGGTCGGGATGAGCTCCGGGAGGGAGCGGGAGGGGAGAAGGACGTCAGCAATAACCGCAGTCACCGCGCCTTTCCTTAACTATTCCCCAAACCCACCGAACAGCCAAAAAACCCCAAACCCACCCGGCTCCCGGTGGGGCTGGGCAGTGTTCAGCCACTGCCTCCTCCAGCACCGGAATCTCCGTGTCCGGCACCGAAATTCCATCCCCGGCACCGAAATCTCCCTTTTCCAGCACCGAAATGTCCTTTTCCAGCACCGAGATCTCCTTCTCCGCCCCGGACTCCTCCCGGCCGCTCCATCCCGGTGCCCAGGATACGTCCCGCCCGCGGGCAGGGCTCGGCGTTCCTGCGGGAAGCGCCCGCGTCCCGAGGAGGGCAGCAGGGACCCGGGACCCGCGTGTTTGCGCCCCACAAACGTTGCGCCGGAGAGAAAAACGTTTTATAAATTGTATTTTAAATAAATGTCTTTAAACTTTTAAGGACTTTCGGTTCTCCCTCTTTCATTCCTCTCGGGGCCCGAGCTCAGAATCCATCGGGAAGGGAAAAGCTGGGAGAAAGCCTGGGTGGGTTTGAGCCAAAGGAGGGGGGATTTTGCTCCGGTTTTAGGGTTGGTGGGAGATGTCCCGGGAGGGAGGATGTGGATCCAACTCGGGATGTGAGCAGGCATTTTTAATTAATTAATTAATTGAATTAACTCTAATTGTCTTGTTGCTCCATCCTGTGGCTGTTGTGCTCCATAACCTCTGGAAAAGGAGGAGGAGGCTGTGGAGGTGCCCAGGGCAGGGGGATTCCAGGAGCCCTGGAATCTCCCACGGGCCCCCATTCCCTTGGAGTTGTGATTTTTAATTACTTTTAAGTTTATAATATATAAATAGTATATGACATAGTATAAATAGATATAAATAAGTACATATAAATTTATATAAAACCAACTATATACAAGTAAATATCTGCAAATATATAAAAATATGTACTAAAGTGTATAAAATATGTATAATAATACAACAACATAATATACAATACAACATAACATATAAATGTATATAATATATAATGTTATAATATAAATATATGGGGGTTGTATATACAAATAAATATTGAAATAAATATATAGTAGATGTAACTATGTAAAATAAAAAGTATTTGTAAATGTGTAAAATATGTATAATATATAATACAAGGTAGCATAGTACAACTATAATGTTATAATATGAATATATGGTGTCTGTATCTATACAAATAAATATTGAAATAAATATATAATAGAGATATAAATATTTAAAATATTTTATATCGACTTAGATATAAAGATATAAAAATATATGTAGTGTATATGTTATATAATATTCAGTATATATTATATAAGACTATATTATAAAATACTGTATTATATATTGTATATAATAGTATATAATTCTATATAGTAAAATGATATATAATATATAATATTACAGTAGAATATAATATATAAAATAGAATACATAGAATATATAGAATAGAATATAAATATATAATTATATAAACAATTATGTTATGTAAAAAATCCCACAAACCCCTGAATTTAGTGACTTGGAGCCGCAGAGCTCCAGGGAGAAGGGTCCAGGCCGGGATGTGGCCGCTGCCCCCCGGCCGAGCTGGTTCCCAGTTCCAGCAGCAAACTGGGACGAGCTCCCGCAGCGGGTCCTCCCGTCCGCCAGGAGGCGCCGCGGACGCGGAAGCGCCTCCCGGCGGCAGGTCCCACCCGCGCTGGGGCGGCCGCGGAGGCGGCAGCGAGGGAGCAGCGAGGCGGTGGGACAGAGCGGCCCGGGGACAGAGCGGCCCGGGGACAGAGCGGCCCGGGGACAGAGCGGCCCGGGGACAGAGCGGCCCGGGGACAGAGCGGCCCCGGGACAGAGCGGCCCCGGGACAGAGCGGCTCCGGGACAGAGCGGCCCCGGGACAGAGCGGCCCGGGGACAGAGCGGCTCCGGGACGAGGCCGCGATGGCGGCGGAGCGGGAGGACTACGAGGCCGTGCTGTGCGTGAAGCCGGCGGTGCTCGTGTACCGCGTCCCGCCCAGGGCCTCCAACCGCGGCTACAGGTGCGGCCCGAGCCCGCCCCGAGCGGTGTCAGCGCCTCTGGGCGCTGCCCCTGCCCTCGGGCTGTGGAGGGTCCCCTCCCCGTGGGCTCTCGGGGGTCCCCCCGGCCATGGGGTGAGGGGTCCCCTCCTCCTCATAAGGTGTTTGGGGGCAGCCCCTCCCTGTGGGGTTCGTGGGAGTCCCCTCCTTAGAGGGTGTTTGGGGTTCGCCCCTCGCTGTGGGGAGCGGGGTTATACAGACCCCATAAGTTATTTGGGGTCTGCAACTCCCCGGGGCCAGCAAGAAGTGCCCCCTGAGGTATCTCTGTCCTTCAGAGGGTTTCTCTGCCCCCCCGGGGTATCCCTGTCCCCCATCCCCGCCCCACAGGGCTTGTCTCCATCCCCCCGGGTGTTTTGGGGTCCCCCTCCCGTCAGTCCTGGACTAATGTCCGTCCTGGCCCAGCCAGGCTGTGCCTGGCCCAGCCCAGCACCACCCAGAAGCTGCTTCTCTCCGAACCCCTGTGGAAAGGGAACTGAAACCTCCCGGGCAGCGCTCGCTGCTCCCGCTGAACCAAACCCAGAAAGGGACCTGAAACCTCCCGTGCTGCGCTTGCTGCTCCCCCCAAACCCAAACCCAGCAGCTGCTCTGGGGGAAACGGGAGCTCTTGGGACAAACCCCCTCCTTCCCACCGCGGCTCCCTATCCCAGCTCCGAGGGGCCTTTGGGGGGCTCAGATGCATTCCCTGTTTTCCAGAGCCGCGGAGTGGCAGCTGGACCAGCCGGCCTGGAGCGGGCGGCTGCGGATCACGGCCCGCGGCAGCACCGCCTTCATCCGCCTGGAGGACAAGACCTCGGGTGAGGGGCGATCCACGGATCCTGCGGGAATGGGCTGCCGTGCCCCGGAGTTATCCCACTCCTGTCTCTCTTTTCCAGGGGAGCTCTTTGCCCAGGCACCTGTGGAGCAGTTCCCGGGAATTGCTGTGGAGAGCGTGACGGATTCCAGCAGATACTTCGTCATCCGGATCGAGGATGAGAATGGTGTGTCACCAGAGACCTTGGGAAGGCTTCAGAGCCCTCCCTGCTCCTGCTTGGGAAGGATTCCTGCTTTCCAGGGTGGGATATTCCCTGCACAGGGTGGCAAAGGAAGGAATTATTGTCTGGGAAGGATTCCTCCTTTTGGGAAGGATTCCTGTTTTTAAGGGCTGATATTCCCTGCACAGGGTGGCAAATAGAGGAATTATTTGGGAAGGATTCCTGCTTTCCAGGGCAGGATATCCCTGCACAGGGTGGCAGAGGGAGGAACTCTCACTCCCACACATCAGCAGGGCTCTGACCTTCACCAGGAACACAAACACTTGGATTTTCCTGCTCGGTGTTGGAGTGAGGGCACGGGATCCTCCCCGTGGTGCCAGCTCTGCTCTGTGTTCCCTTCCAAGGGGTTTTACACCAACGAGGTGAAATCCCTGGAGAAGGGAAGGGTTTGCTGTGACCTAATTGTGGCCTTCCCGTGCCTAAAGGGGCTCCAGGGAGCTGGAGAGGGACTTGGGGCAAGGGATGGAGGGACAGGACAAGGGAATGGCTTCCCATTGCCAGAGGGCAGGGATAGATGGGATATTGGGAAGGAATTCCTCCCTGGGAGGGTGGGGAGGGGCTGGGATGGAATTCCCAGAGAAGCTGTGGCTGCCCCATCCCTGGGAGTGTCCAAGGCCAGGTTGGACAGGGCTTGGAGGATCCTGGGCTGGTGGGAGGTGTCCCTGCCCATGGCAGGGGGTGGAATGGGATGATCCTTAAGGTCCTTTCCAACCCAAAGCATCCTGGGATTCTGTGATTCCACGATCTCCAGTGCCATGGCTCAGGCTCCACAGTCCCAGCTCTCACTGGAGCTGGCAGCAGGCACGAGGATGTGTGGGATGGACTATCCCATCCCTCCTCCTCCGCTGCTGTGCATTCCAGCCCCTATCCCTCCCCGTTCCAGGCCGCCGGGCGTTCATCGGGGTCGGCTTCGCGGACCGAGGGGACGCCTTCGACTTCAACGTGGCCCTGCAGGACCATTTCAAGTGAGTCTGTGCCTTTCCCAGCTCCTCAGCTCCAGTTTTGGCAGGTGTCCCCCAGGAATGTTGGAGAAGTGGGCAGGTGTGGTGGGAAGAGCTGGGAACTCTTGTATCCCTGCCCTCTGTATCAGCCGTGTCCCAAACTGGGCTTCCGAGCCCCAAAGGGGGCAAATTCCCTGATTTATTTCCCTCCTTCACATGCCACCTGTAAGGGGGTGCCCCTGAGGGACTGGGATGCTGCTCCAGCTGCTGGGAATGGTGGGGTTTGGGGAGGGATGGCTGGAGGATCCGTGGGAATTGTCCCTGCAGTGCCCCGGCAGGTGAGGTCTCGGGTCACGTCCGAAGCCTTTAAGGAGCTGCTGCCGGGCCCAGGGGATGATCCTGAGCAGGATTTGTCTGGGGGAGCCTGGTGACGTCTCCTTTTCCATGGATTTAATTCCCGCAGGTGGGTGAGGCAGCAGAGCGAGCTGGCCCGGCAGGACCTGGATCAGGGACCCAAACTGGATCTGGGATTCAAGGAAGGACAAACCATCAAACTCAACATCGCTGTGAGGGGCTTTTCCAGCTAATTCCAACCTCGGGTGGCACAAGAAAGCAGCGGCTTCTCCCCAAAATCCTCATGCAGGAGGAATGCTGGGGCAGAGCCCATTGGGATAACGCTGCCTGCAGGGATTTGCGGGGGGTTGTGTTACAATTCCTGGTTCCAGAACCGGGTCTATGGGATTTTTGGGCAAAAAAACCACCCTTGGTGTGACCCCTTTAGATGCACCAGCAGTGGGATATCCCAGCACCGCAGGATTTTATCCCCAGAATAAACGTTTGGCTTTGTGGGATTTGCTCTCCAGCTCTGGCTTTGAATGTGATCCCACCCAAAATTCCCACTCTTCTTTCAGAACATGAAGAAAAAGGAAGGAGCCACAGGGAACACCAGACCACGTCCTGCAGGGCCCGGGGGCTTGACTTTGCTCCCACCACCTCCCGGGGGGAAATCCTGTGGAGAGCGCCCGCCCTCCCTGCCCGGCCCCGCCCGGCTCCCGGGAACGCCCATCACAGGTCTGGGCACGGCCGAGCTGGCAGGCTCCATGGAATCCTTTGGAGCTGGGGGAATGTGGGAACAAGGGCAGGAAATAACCCCTGGTGTTTGTGTTCTCTCTGCCCACAGACTCGGTGCTGTCCTGGCCTCAGCCCTCTGCTCCCGCTGCTCCCGCTGCCGACGCCTGGGGAGACTTTGCCAAAGCTTCGGGGTGAGCCTGGAGGGGCTTTGGGTGGGATGGGGGTGCCCCAAATCCTGCTGGTTTTGCTGGAAAACCCCACTGGGGTGGGGGCACTGCTCCACCCAGTCCCAGCTTCGGGATTCAAAAGCAGCTCTGCCAGAGCTCCAGGAGCATTTGGACAATGCTCCCAGGGACAGGATGGGATTTTGGGGTGTCCTGGGCAGGGCCAGGGGTTGGACTGGGTGATCCTTGGGGGCCCTTCCAGCTCAGGACATTCCGTGGTTCTGTGGGGTGCAGATTCCCTGAGTTCAAGTCTACGGGCACTTCTTGCTCCAGGGTAATTCTGGGGTGATCCTGGAGGACCCATTTGCTGCCTGGATGCCCCTTCCAGGTCTAAATCCCCTTTTTTCCCTGGTTTTCCCTCTCTCCAGGTCAACTCCTAACCAGACTCAGGGGAACTGGGTCCAGTTCTGAGCCCACAGGGGTGCTGGGATCCTCGGGATTCCTTTGGGACCAAAAAAGCAGCTTCAGGACACCTCACTCCTGCCCTTAAATCCTGCCTGGCATCAAAATGCTGGAATAAGTGCTGGAAAGAACCAACCACGTGCCTTAAAACACTCCACACGCCTGTGCCTGCTGCATCCAGGGTCTGTTATTGTCCCCCTGGATCACGGGAGACCTTCTCCCTTGGGAAAAACCATCCGGTTCGTCCCCTCTCCTCCATAACAAGGGGGTGCTTGGGGTCTCCTCAGGGACTTTCTCCTTGGTTTTTTGGGCTGGATAAATCCTTCCCTGGGCAAGGAGCATCCTCCTGGAGACATCCCACCTCCCAGCTCCGCACAACGCCTGCCAAGATGCCGAATATCACCTTGGTTTTCTTCCTGAGCACTTACCTGGGATGTTGGGAAGCTCCAGCCGTGGTGTTTCCATGCTGAAATTCCTCATTTCTTACTCTGGGAAGTTTGCTTTATTCCTGCTCTCCTTTGAAGACAGGATTTTTTACTTCTTTCCATGGACTTTTCGTTAGGGACAGAACGGTCTCTTGGACAGAGCTGGGGTTGAGACTCCTCCCTAAACAAAGAAATATTTTCTTACCTATTTATATGAAGCCTTTTCCACGTACGAAATCCCACTTGTTTTTTTATTCAGTGCCTTGGATTTTCCTTTTCCAACTGGCTGACGGGCATTTTGCTTTCGGAGCTTTTCCCTGGGCCTGGCAGCAAAGCCAGGTGAGCCTGGGAGCCTCAGAGTGAACAATAAAACGCTTTGGATGCCACAGTGGAGTCTTTTCCTCCCCCCGGGGCTGCTCGGAGGGACTGGGATGGGCTTCTGTGATTCCCTCTCCTCGGTGGTGCCAAGGAAACGGGAATGGGAACATGGGAACGGGATTGGCCGGGGAAGCACAACAGAACCTGTTGCTTAGCAGTGGTTTGCGCTTGGGAAGGTCGCCGGGAGAGGGAGGTGAGGGAGGAAATGGGGGGAAAAGGAGGGTTTTTGGGACACAAGTGCTCGAGGGGGGGGATTTGAGGCAGCTTCCCCGTGGCTGCAGGGATCCAAGGCAACGTAAATCCTCAATCCCATCTGCCTGGTCCCGGTAATCCGGAGGAGAAAGGGCACTTTCCCTGGTGGGGGGATTGGGAAAGAGGGTGGGAGACCCCCTGGAAAGCAGAGTGTGGCTTGGGATGGGATCCATCCCTTGTTTCGGGAGCAGGGATGTCTCCGGCCCCCACTGGGGGCAGGTTTTGGGCTCGGATCGGGGATTTCCCGTCCCCTTTCCCTGCCGGGGGGGAAAAAGTCCTGAATTACGCGGGAGGGGGAACGTTGCTGCTCCAGAGGCGGCGGCGCGGGGAATCCTCCCGAGTCCCGGCGCATTCCCACATCCCGGGGGAGGGTTTAAAGCCGCTTCACCCCTTGGCAACCCCGGCTCGCTCCTCCCCGGAGCTTTTCCTGCCGGAGCGAACCCCGGGGCGTTAATGAGCTTAATGAGCGCCGGGGCTTAACGAGGGGAGCGGCTGCCTCTTCCCAAGGAGCTCCGTTCCCTGCTGGAATCCCCATCCCGCCGCCGAGCCGGGACTTTCCCACCCGTTTTGCTCGCGGGAAGCGCCGGGGGGTTGGTATCTGTTTATATTTTCCTTCGTTTTCCTCCTTCTCACCGAGAGCCTCGGGGTGGGTTTATTTCCAAAACCCGGGAATGCCGAGGGATATTTTTGGAGGAGAATCGTGGAATGTTGGTGTCGGAGGCGTTGGGACCCCCCCAGGAAGAGGAGGGTCCCCGCTCCCGCCGTCACGCAGGGAGGGGACGGCGGGATTTCGGGCTAATCCCGACCTCGCATCCGCTTTCCACTCCCAGGAAAGGGGTGGAAACAGCCCAAAATCCCAGGAAAAGGGGGGTCGGGACAAAGAGGCCGCGCCGAGGGGGTGCCGAGGGCAACTTGGATGCTCCGGGAAGCCCCAGGCTGAGGTGGGGTCCCCGTGTCCCCCCTCGCGGAGCCGCGGAGCGGGAGCGCGGCATCGGGAATGGGAATGGGAATGGGAATGGGAATGGGAATGGCACCGGGAGTGGCGCCCGGGCAGCGGGGTTGGGATAAAGGGGCCTTTTGTGCTGGGATTTGGGGTCGCGGCGGCGAATTGGGCGGGTTTGGGGCTGCGAATACGAACGCGCGGCGGTTTTGGGGGCCACGACTGGAAATCCTGCAGCGGTTTTGGGATCAGGAAATGCAAAAGTCTGCAGCAGTTTGGGGATTGTAACCGGGAATCTGCAGCTCTGGGATAAGGAACTGCAAACCTGCGGCGGGTTTGGGATCACGAACGGGAACGTGGGGAGATTGGGGGATCACAAATGCGAATTTTGGGGCAGTTTTGGGATTGCAGCTGTAAATCTGCCGCACTTTTGGGGTCACAAACACAAAGTTTCAGTGATTTTTTTGATTGCAGCTGGAAGTCTGCTGAGGTTTTGGGATCACAAATGCAGATTTTGTGGCAGTTTTGGGATTGCAGCTGTAAATCTGCAGCACTTTGTGATGCCAGCTGCAAATCTACAGCGGCTTTGGGATCACAAACAGAGATTTTTAGTGATTTGGGGATCCCAACTGTAAATCTGCAGCAGTTTCGTGATTGTAGCTGGAAGCTGTAGAGTTTTGGGGATCATATTTGCAGGTTTGTGGCAGTTTTGTGATTGCAACTATAAAACTGCAGTGGTTTTGTGATAGGAACTGCAAATCTGTGGCGGGTTTGGCATCACAAACAGGGATTTGTGGAGATTTTGGGATCACATGCAAATTTGGTGGCAGTTTTGGGATTGCAGCTGTAAATCTGCAGCATTTTTGGGGACTGCAACTGGAAATGAGCAGTTTTGGGGATCATAAGTGCAATTTTGTGACAGTTTTCTGATTGCAATTATAAATCTGCAGTGAATTTTGTGATTTTAACTCCAGATCTGCAGCGGGTTTGGGATCACAAACAGGAATTTGCAGTGTTTGGGGATCATAAATGCAGATTTCTGACAGTTTTGGGATTGCAACTCTAAATGTGCAGTGGTTTTGCTGTCAGAAACAGGAATTTGCAGTGGGTTTGGGATAATAAATGCAAGCTTGGGATGGTTTTATGATTGCAACTCTAAATCTGCAGCGCTTCTGTGACAGGAACTGCAAATCTGCAGCGGGTTTGGGATCACAAATGGGAATTTTTAGTGATTTTGGGATCCCAACTGTAAATCTGCAGCACTTCTGTGATCCCAGCTGCAGATCTTAGTGGGTCTGGGGCCACAGGCAGGAATCTGCAGCGGGTTTGGGATCATAAGTGTGAATTTTTGGCACTTTTGGTGATCTCAGCTGCGACTCTGGTGCAGTTTTGCCGTCACAGACGTGACCCTGCAGCAGTTTGGGGATCCCAAACACGTTTGCAGCTGTTTTGCCATCGCAGCTGCGAAGCTGCAGCCCTTTTGTGATGGATTTGCAGTGGGTTTGTGGTCCCAAACACAAATTTTCAGTGGTTCTGTGAGCGCAGCTCCGAGTCTGCAGCGGGTTTGGGGGTCTGAGCGTGGGTCTGAGCGTGGCAACTGCGAGTTTTCAGAGGCTTTGAGACCGCAACTGTGCATTTCCAGCAGTCCTCCCATCCCAAAGGGCATCCCTCGGCACGGCCAAGTTGTGGGAGGGAGGCGTTTCCAGCCCGGGGGGGTCAAACTGCTCCCGGAGCGCGGGGGAGGCGCAGCCCCTTCCCGAGGGAACGAGGCAGCTCCGGGAGCAAAGGGGGCCTTGGCTCCGTCCCGGGGCTGGATCCCATCCGGCCCCATCCCGCAGGGGCCATGTCCTCGCTGCTGTCCCTCCAGGAGGAGAACAGGATCCTGCAGCAGGAGCTGTCCCGGGTGGAGGATCTGCTGGCCCAGAGCCGGGCGGAGCGCGATGAGTTGGCCATCAAGTACAACGCCATCAGCGAGAGGGTGGGGCACCAAACCCCGCCCTTCTGACCCCAAACCTCACCTTTGTGACCCCAAACCTGCCTTTGTGACCCCAAACCTGCCTTTGTGACCCTAAACCCACCTTTGTAACCCCAAACTCACCCTTCTGACCCCAAACCCGCCTTTGTAACCCCAAAACCGCCTTTCTAACCTCAAACCTGCTCTTTTAACCCCAAACCTCACCTTTCTATCCCCAAACCTCACCTTTCTATCCCCAAACCTCACCTTTCTAACCCCAAACCCGCCTTTCTAACCCCAAACCCGCCTTTCTAACCCCAAACCTGCCCTTCTAACCCCAAACTTGCCTTTTTAACCCCAAACCCCCCTTTCTAACCCCCAACCCAGGGCTGTACAAGTCCCACCCTCGGCATTCCCTGCTCCCGGGGTGCCGTCGTGGTGGGAATTGTGGTGCCGGCGTGTCCGGACCCGTCCTGGCTCGCCAGGGCTTGTCCCGTGGGAAGCACAAAGCATCCCCCTCCTCCATCCCAGTTTTGTTGGTGCTGCTGCTTTTCGGGAAGCAGCCCCCCCACCGGTGCATTCCTTTGCCAAGGAAACCAGGAATTCAAAAGGGCTTTGGCCCTTCCAGTGCTGAGAGCGGCTCCTGGGAGACCCGAATTGAGGGGGGGTTGGAATTTTGGAAGAAATCCCTCTGTCTGGGCCTGGTTATGAACAAAACCCCTGGTTATGAACATCAGGAAAATATCCCCTGGGAATTGTCCCTCCCGCCCTCGATCCATTGGGCACAGGCCGGGATGGGGCTTTGCTGAGCCCCCACACGGAGAGTTGGGTTAGTTTGGAAAGCACCCCCAAAACTTCCCATCCCTCCCCTCCCTGGGCGTGCAAAGAGAGTGGGAAGGTGGGATTTGGGTGGGAAGCTGGGATTTGGGGAGGAAGGTGGGATTTGGGGGGGAAGGTGGGATTTGTTGGGGGCTTGGCTGTGGCTCTCCAGGATTTGCTGTGGGACCTCCCCGGCTTTCCTGGGACACGATGGGTGATGCCCAGGGGTGCTCGGGGGGTGCCGGGGGGTGCCAGCCCGTATCCCACCCCTCTCCCAGCTGGAGCAATCCCTGCGCACGGAGGCGGGAGAGCGGGAAGCGGCCGAGAGCCGGAGCCTGGCCCAGCACAACATCGAGCTCCGGAGGCTCCTGGAGGAGGAACAAGCCGCCTACAAGCGGAAGCTCCAGGCCTACCAGGAGGGGCAGCAGAGGCAGGCCCAGCTCGTGCAGAAGCTCCAGGCCAAGGTAAATCCTTCCCGGGGGGAGCAGGGACGGTCTGGGAGCCCCCCCGGGTGTCACCCCCCGGTGTCACGCCCCCGTCCCCCCGCAGGTGCTGCAGTACAAGAAGAAATGCGGGGAAGTGGAGCAGCAGCTGCTGGAGAAGGCGACGGAGCTGGAGCAGGAGAGGCTGACGGTGAGGGAGGGGCCTGGGGGGATGTCCTGCCCCAGACACCCCCAGATCGAGGTAGTGGCGAGCGGGATGTTCCCACAGATCCAGCTGGATGCCAGCGGCTCCCAGCCAGAGGAGGAGAGCAGCAACGAGCTGGAGAATGCCCTGATCCGGCTGGAAGAGGAGCAGCAGAGGTGAGCGGGATCCCTGGAGGGGTGGGATGCTCCAGACACCGTGACCCCCCATCCCAGGAGCAGCAAAGGTGAGTGGGATCCTCAGGAAGGTGTGGGGATTCCCAGGAGGGGGATCCCCTTCATTCCCTCCATCCCAGGAGCGTAGAGGTGAGTGGGATCCTTGGGGAGGTTTGGGGATTCCCAGAGGGATGCTCCGGTCATTCCACCCATCCCAGGAGCAGCAGAGGTGAGTGGGATCCTTGGGGAGGTTTGGAGATTCCCAGGAGGGGGATCTTCTCCATCCCAAGAGCAGCAGAGGTGAGTGGGGATCCTTGGGAGTTGGGGAGATTTCCGGGGGGGTGCTCCGGCCATTCCACCCATCCCAGGAGCAGCAGAGGTGAGCAGGATCCCTGGGGAAGATGTGGGAGTTCCTGGGGGACATTCCATCCATCCATCCATCCCCTCCCTCCCCATCCCAGGAGCAGCAGAGTGGGGGTCCCTGGGCAGGTGTGGGCATTCCTGGTGGGATACCCCACGGGTCCCTGTATCCCCATCCCAGGAGCAGCAGCCTGGTGCAGGTGAACTCGATGCTGCGGGAGCAGCTGGAACAGGCCAACGCGGCCAACGCGGCGCTGAGCGAGGACATCCGGAAGCTCACGGCGGACTGGGCACGGAGCAGGGATGAGCTGGAGCAGAGGGAGGCCGAGTGGAGGCGCGAGGAGGAGGTCCGGGGGGCCCTGGAATGTGGGAGGAGGCAGGGATCCATCAGGGAGGACTGTGAGGCAGAGGGATGTGGCTTGGAAAGGGATGCGGGATCACGGAGAGGGATGGAGGGTCTTGTGGGATGTTCCATTTGGGAGCACGTGCCATGTGGCACGTGATGGGAAAGAGATATAATGCAGGGATGTATCATGGAAAGGGATGCGGGACCAATGGGAGGGATGTGGGACCACAGGGGATGTGGCAAAGAAAATTTGGGAGTGCAGGGGAGGTGGCACATGATGGGGAGGGAATATGAGTCAGAGGGAAGCATCATGGAAAGTCTCCAGGACCACTAGGAGGGGTGCAGGGTCATGGGGGATGTTACATGGAGAAGAATTTGGGAGTGCAGGGGATGTGGCTTGTGATGAGAAGGGGATATAATGCAGGGATGCCTCTTGGAAAGGGATGCAGGACCACCTGGAGGGATGTGGGATGTTGTACAGGGAAGAATTTTGGAGGTGCAGGGGATGTGGCTTATTGTAGGAAGGGGGCTATAACGTGGGGATACCTCATGGAAAGGGGTACAGGACCAGCAGGAGGGATGGGGGACCATGGGGGCTGTGACATGGAAGGGGATGCAGGAGCACCAGGAGGGGTACAGGACTGTGGGGGATGTTGCATGGAGAAGGCTTTGGGGGTGCAGGGGATGTGGCTTGTGGTGGGAAAGGAATATGAGTCAGAAGGAAGCATCATGGAAAGTCTCCAGGACCACCTGGAGACTCCTGCACCAGGAGGGGTGCAGGGTCATGGGGGATGTTGCCTGGAGAAGAACTTGGGGATGTGACGTGTGATGGGAAGGGGCTGTGAGGCAGGAGGATGAAGGGATGCACCATGGAAAACGATACAGGACCACTGGGAGGGATGTGGGGCCACGGGGAGTGCTGCAAAGAGAGGGATTTGGGGGTACAGGGGACATGGGACATGATGGGGAGGGGATGCCAGGCAGGGGGATGCGTCCCCAACCCTCTCTGTGCCCGAGGGAATTGGGGCTGCGCAGCACCGCGGGGTGATGGGCGTGGCCAGAGGGGACATTTGGGAATTTGGGGAGCGTGGTGGGTCTCCCAGCGGGCGCCAACCCCCCTCCACCTACCCACAGTCCTTCAACGCCTACTTCAGCACGGAGCACAGCAGGCTCCTGACCCTCTGGAGGCAGGTGGTGGCTCTGCGGCGGCACTTCGGGGACATGAAATCCAGCACCGAGAGGTCAGCGGGGATCCCGGCCGGGGGGCGATCCCTGGGGGTTCCCGAGGGCCTCCGGCTGCCCCCCGCATCTCCCCCCGCAGGGACCTGTCGGAGCTGGGCCACGAGGTGTCCCGGGCGGGCCGCGCCGCCCACGCCGCCTGCCTGGCCCTGGGGGCCAACCTGCGCCTGGCCGAGAGCCAGGCGGGAGCGGCGCGGGAGCGGCGGGAGCTGCGCCTGGCACAGCTGGAGGAGCAGCTGGCGGCGCGGGCTCGAGATGCCGACCTGGAGAAATCCGCCCTGGGAGCCAAGTAGGGACGGCTCCCCCCCTCCGGGGGGGCTCGGGGGGTTCGGGGGTTGCGGGGGCGGCTGCGGGGACCGCGGCGCTTCCCGGCGCTTCCCGGCGTGTGCCGCAGGCTGGAGGAGATGACGGCGGCGCTGGAGCGGCGGCGGGGCGAGGACGAGGAGAGGGAGCGGGCGGTGCAGGCGCTGACCCTGCAGCTGCGGGAGCTGGTGGGTGCGGCTCGGGGGCGCCGGGCTCGGGGGGTGAGCCGGGACCGGCCCCTGATGCCCGGGGGTGTTTCCAGGAGGCCGCGCGCGCCCGGGAGCCGCCGCCGGAGGAGGTGCAGGCGCTGCGCTCGGAGCTGGAGCTGCTCCGCCACACCCTGCACGACGTCACCCAGGTGCTGGGGACAGCCCGGCCCTGCCTCGGTTTCCCCTTTCCCACCTCGATTTCCCTATCCCTTGACTCAGTTTCCCCCTTCCTTGACTCAGTTTCCCCCTTCCTTGACTCAGTTTCCCTCTTTCCTTGACTCAGTTTCTGCTTTCCTGTTTCAGTTTCCCCTTTCCCATCTCAGTTTTCCCATCCCTTGACTCTGTATCCCCCTTCCTCAGTTTCTACTTTTCCTGACACAATTTCCCCTTTCCTTCACTCGTCTTCCCCTTCCTTCCCCACCTCAGTTTCCCCTTTCCCGCCTCAGCTTCCCCATCCCATGACTCCATTTCCCCCTCTCTGCTTCAGTTTTGCCTTCCTTTGACTCAGTTCCCCCTTTCCCGCCTCAGTTTTCGCTTTCCCACCTCTGTTTCCCCTTCCCTTGATTCCGTATCTCTTTCCCTTTTCTCATTTCATTTCCCCCTTTCCCGCCTCGGTTTCCCCTTTCCCGCCCCAGTTTCCCCTTTCCCGCCTCGGTTTCCCCTTTCCCGCCCCAGTTTCCCCTTTCCCGCCCCAGTTTCCCGTTCCCTGCCCGCTGTCCCGCCGCAGTTCCCGGTGTTCCCTCTCCAGCCGCTCCGTGTGTCCCGCAGGCGGTGCTGGCCGATGACCCCGCGTCCTCCCCAGCGCCCGGCGCGCTGTCGCCGCCCTGTCCCGCCGTGTCCCCTGCCCTGTCCCCCGGCGCCGTTCGCTCGTGGCTGGTCCGGCGGCGGGCGGAGCTGACGGTGAGCGGGGCAGGAGGAGGAGGAGGAGGAGGGAGGCTGAGGATGGTGCCGGGGCTGAGCCCTTTCCCGGCGCAGGAAGCGCGGAGCCAGGCGGAGCAGGGCCGGGAAGCGGCCGCAGGGCTGCGGCGGGAGCTGCGGGACAGCGAGGGGCGGCTGGAGGCGCTGGAAAAGCGGCTGGAGCAGCTCCGGGCGGAGACCGGGAACTGCCGCCGGGAGCGGGACGAGGCGCTGCGGGAGGGACTCGGGCTGAGGGCGCGGAACGAGGAGCTGCGGAGGTACCGAGGGAGGGAGAGAGGAGGGGGGGATGGATGAGGGATGGATGAGGGATGGATGAGGGATGGATGAGGGATGGATGAGGGATGGAGGGACAGAGGGACGGATGGATGGACGGATGGACGGATGATGGATGGATGGAGGACAGATGGACGGATGGAGGGACAGATAATGGAGGGACGGATGGATGATGGATGGATGGAGGGATGGATGGATGGAGAGACAGATGGATGGAGGGATGGACAGATAATGGAGGGATGGAGGGAGGGACGGATGGACAGACAGGTGTTCCTGGCTCCAGCCAGGCCAGCCCGGCTGTACCTGTGCCTGTGTCCATGTGTCCGTCTGTCCCTGTGTATCTGTGTGTCTCTCCCTGTACTTGTGTCCGTGTGTCCATCTGTCCCTGTGCTTGTATCCATGTCTTGTCTATCTGTCCCTGTCCATCCATCCCTATCCATCCATCCCTACACATCTGTCTGTCTGTCCCTGCACATCCTTCCATTCTGATGCATCTTTCTTGACCCACCTGTGAGCATCCCCCATCCCTCCATCCTCCCTGTCCATCTGTCCATCTGTCCATCCCCCATGTCCATCTGTCCATCCATCCATCTGTCCATCCACCCGTGTTCCTCTGTCCCTCCACCTACTCTGTGTTTGCCTGTCCATCCATCCCTCCATCCACTCATCCATGTCCATTTGTCCATCCATCTACCCCCTGTGTCCATCTCTCCATCCATCCACCCTGTGTCCGTCTGTCCATCCATCCCCCCCGCCGTGTTTGTCTCTCTGTCCATCCGCCCGCCCATACCCACCCCCCCGCCGTGTCCGTGTGTCCGTCAGGGAGCTGGAGCGGGCGGAGGCGGCGCTGGCAGTGGAGCAGCAGCGGGCGGGAGCTCTGGAGCAGGAGCGGGCGCAGCTCCAGCGCCAGAATGAGGGGCTCGAGGATTCCCGGGATGAGGCTGCCAGGGATGCCCAGAGTGCCCGGGAGCAGCTGGAGCACAGGTGGGGACTGGGGGGCACGGGGGATGCAGGGGGGCACAGGTGAGTTCAGGGGGCAGAGGTTGGTGTTGGGGGGCATAGGTGAGTTCAAGGGGGCACAGGTGAGTTGAGGGGGCACAGGTGGGTGCAGAGGGGCACAGGGGGGCTCAGGGGGGCACAGGTTGGTGCAGAGGGGCACAGCGGGGTTCAGGGGGGCACAGGTGAGCTCAGGGGGGCACAGGTGGGTGCAGGGTGGGGGTAGGCACTGCAGTGTCCCCCACCCCCAGGGGCTGCTCCTCGAGCGCAGTGAGTGCCCCAAAGCCCCCCCGGGTGGGTTCTGCCCCCCTGCCGTGGGTGCTGAGCCCCCCTGCCCCCGTGGTGCCCAGCCAGCGGCAGCTGGAGGAGCTGGAGGCGCAGCGGGCGCGGGCGCAGCGGGAGCTGCTGGAGGCGAGGGAGGAGCAGAGCCGGGCGGAGCTGCAGGCGGAGCTGGCACGGGGAGAGCGGGACGTGCTGGCACAGGCGCTGGGAAAGGTGGGCACCCCCAAACCCCAGCACCCACAGGGGGTCTGTCCCATTGCAGCGAGTGCCCCCCATGGATAGAGGTGCCCCCCATGGATAGAGGTGCCCCCCATGGATAGAGGTGCATCCCTATGGATAGAGGTGCCCCCCATGGATAGAGGTGCCCCCCATGGATAGAGGTGCATCCCTATGGATAGAGGTGCCCCCCATGGATAGAGGTGCATCCCTATGGATAGAGGTGCCCCCCATGGATAGAGGTGCATCCCTATGGATAGAGGTGCCCCCAATGGATAGAGGTGCATCCCTATGGATAGAGGTGCCCCCCATGGATAGAGGTGCATCCCCAATGGATAGAGGTGCATCCCTATGGATAGAGGTGCCCCCAATGGATAGAGGTGCATCCTTATGGATAGAGGTGCATCCCCAATGGATAGAGGTGCCCCCCATGGATAGAGGTGCATCCCACGGATAGAGGTGCATCCCTATGGATAGAGGTGCATCCCATGGATAGAGGTGCACCCAATGGATAGAGGTGCATCCCCAATGTATAGAGGTGCATCCCTATGGATAGTGGTGCATCCCTATGCAGTGGGTGAATTCCCATGGATGCAGGTGGCAGGGATGCCACCCCTGCAGCTGATGCCCCCCATGCCCCAGGTGCCCACCATGCCTCAGTTACCCCGTGCATGTTCTCCACACCTCTGAGTCACCCCTGGCACCCTCCCAGTCACCCCGTGCCCCCTTCCCTCTCCTCCCAGTGACCCGTGACACCCTCCCAGTGACCCCCTGTACCCTCCCCACCCCTCCCAGTCGCCCCTGACACCCTCCCTGTGCCCCCGTTGCCCCCCGTTGCCGCCGTGCCCACCCGGTGCCCGCCGTGTCAGGCACAGGGCAGCTGCGGGGAGCTGGCCCTGGCACAGCGGGCGGCGGAATCCGAGGAATGCCGGCTGCGGGACGCCCTGGCCAAGACCTCGGAGCTGGCGTCGGGGCTGGCGCGGGAGAAGGCGGAGCTGTGCCGGCGGCTGGAGCGGCTGGAGCAGGAGCGGGAGCGCGGGCGGCTGCGGACGCGGGAGCTGCTGCGGGAGCTGGCGCAGCTCCGGGCGCGGCTGGAGCGCGGGCGCCGCGCCGGGATCCTGGAGCGGCAGGGCCTGGAGCGGGCCCGGAGCGCGGCGCTGGAGGGATCCCGGGGCGTGCGGGCGGAGCTGCGGGCGCTGCGCCAGGAACACCTTCGGCTGCGCCAGCACCTGGCACAGGTGGGCACCGGGACGGGGCACTGGGAGCGGTGGGGGGTGACTGGGAGGGGTGGGGGGTCCATGAGGTGGGGCTGATTATCCCTGCGTGGGAACTGGGGGTCCCTGGGGGTGACTGGTGGTCCGTGGAGGGTGACTGGTGTACCCCGTGGTGCCGCTGGGGGTCCCTGAGGGGTAACTGCTTGTCCATGAGGGGTAACTGGTGGTCCCTGTGTGGTAACTGGTGATCCACGAGGGATAACTGGTGGTCCCTGTGTGGTAACTGGTGATCCACGAGGGATAACTGGTGGTCCCTGTGTGGTAACTGGTGATCCACGAGGGATAACTGGTGGTCCCTGTGTGGTAACTGGTGATCCACGAGGGGTAACTGGTAGTCCTTGTGTGGTAACTGGTGCTCTGTGGGGGGTAACTGATGGTCCCTGTGGTACTTGGTGGTCCCTGTGGTGTCCCCAGTGTTCCCCACTGGTACCCGGTGTTCCCGGTGGTCCTGGTGCTCCACGTGGTCCCGGTGCTCCCTATGATCCCGGTATTCCCATGGTCCCGGTGCTCTCTGTGATCCCAATATTCCCGTGGTCCCAATGCTCCCCACGGTCCTGGTATTCCTGTGGTCCTGGTGCTCCCTGTGGTCCCGTTGCACCCCGTGATCCTGATATTCCCTTGGTCCCAAAGCTCCCCATGTTCCCATTGCTCCCGTGCCCCCGGTGTTCCCGGCACAGGCTCTGCAGGCCCAGGGCACGGCGGGCGAGGCGCTGGCGCGGGCGCGGGCGGAGCAGGAGCAGCTGCGGGCGGAGCAGGAGCGGCTGAGCCGGAGCCACGCGGAGCTGGCCCAGGACAGCGCCGGGCTGGCCGTGCAGCTCGCCATGGCACAGCAGCACGGGCAGGAGTGCCACAGGGAGGCACAGGGGCTCAGGTGGGGTGGGACGGGATGGGGGATGGATGGGAGGGGTCTGGGCTCAGGTGGGATGGGATGGGATGGGATGGGATGGGATGGGATGGGTGGGAGGGTCTGGGCTCAGGTGGGTGCTGAGATGGGGGAACTTCTGGGCCCAGGTGGGATGGGTGAGTTCTGAAATCAGGTGGGACTGGGATGGGTGGGGTGTTCCAGGCTCAGGCAGGTGCTGGGGTGGAGGGGGTTCCTGGCTCAGTGGAATGGGGTGGTTTTGGGCTCAGGTGAGTGCCAGGATTGGGAAAGTGCTGGGCCCAGGTGGGATGGGGTGGTTCCAGTCTCAGGTGGATGCCTGGGTGGATAGGGGGGTTCTGTGCTTCAGGTGGATGCCAGGATTGGGGAAGTTCTGGGCTCAGGTGGGATGGGAGGTTCCAAGTTCAGGTGGGTGCTGAGATTGATGGGAGGGTTCTGGGCTCAGTGGGGTGGGAGGTTTCAACCTCAGATGGGTGCTGGGATGGATGGGAAGGTTCCGGGCTCAGGTGGGTGCTGGGTGGGGATGTGGGTGCCAGGGCAGCTCCCCCAGCCTGTCCCGGCGGCGTTCCCGGCATTCCAGGTCGGAGAAGGAGGGGCTGGAGAGCAGCGTGTTCCAGCTGCAGGCACAGCTGGCCCAGCTCCAGGCCCGGAACCAGCAGCTGGAGAGCGAGGGCCGGACGCTGCTCCAGGCCAAGGAGGCACTGGAGGGTGAGGGGGCCCGGCCACGGGGTTGTCCCACCACTGACCATCCCCGTCCATCCCCATCCCCATCCCCATCCTCAGCTGTCTCTATTCAGCCCCATCCATCCCCATTCCCTTCCATCTTCATCCTCGTTCCAGTCTTCATCCTCATCCTCGTTCTAATCTTCAGCCCCATCCCAATCTTCATCTTCATCCCCATTCATCCCCTTACCATCCCCCTTTATCCTCAGCCCCATCCATCTGTATCTTCATCTTTATCCTCATCCCAGCCTTCATCTTCATCCCCACCCATCCAGAACTTCATCCTCATCCCTGTCTTCATCCCCATCCGGCTGCATCCATCCCCATCCTCATCCTCATTCCCATCCATCCCCCTCTGCATCCTCATTCCCATCCATCCCCATCCTCATCCTCATTCCCATCCATCCCCATCCTCATCCTCATTCCCATCCATCCCCATCCTCATCCTCATTCCCATCCATCCCCATCCTCATCCTCATTCCCATCCATCCCCATCCTCATCCTCATTCCCATCCATCCCCATCCTCATCCTCATTCCCATCCATCCCCCTCTGCATCCTCATTCCCATCCATCCCCCTCTGCATCCTCATTCCCATCCATCCCCCTCTTCACCTTCATCCTCTTCATCATCCATCCTCAGCCCCATCCACCTGTCCCACACTGATGGGGGGTGTCCCCTGGGGGGGTTTCCACTGATGGGGGTGTCCCACTAGCTGGGGGGGTGTTCCCTCTTATGGGAAGGGTCCCCATAAGGCTGGGGGGGTTGTTTCCACTGATGGGGGTGTCCCCTCTTGTGGGGGGATCTCCACTGACTGGGGGGGTCCCTGCTGATCAGAGGGGTGGTCCCCACTGATGGGGGGTGTCCCCTGGGGATGTCCCCACAGATGGGGAGTGTCCCCATTGATGGATGGTGTCCCCACTGACCAGGGGTGTCCCCCCTGAATGGATGGGGTGTCCCCATTGATGGATGGTGTCCCCACTGACCAGGGGTGTCCCCACTGATGGGTGTTGCCCCCTGTGGGGTGTCCCCTCTATGGGGGTGTCCCCACTGACCCGGGAGGTGTCCCTGCTTTTCTGGGGGGTGTCCCCTCGCGTGGGGGTGTCCCCGCTGACGGGGGTGTCCCCCCAGCCGAGCTGGGGGTGTCGCGGCAGGAGCGGGCGCAGGAGCTGCGGTGCCGGCGCCGGGCGGTGGCGGCGGCCGAGGCGGCCGCGGTGACGGTGACCCTGCGGAGCGCCCGCGACGCCCACCGGGACCAGCTGGAGCAGCTCCAGCGCCACAAGGTGGGGGGGGGGGGGAATGGAATTGTGGGGTGCACTGCTGATTTCTGGGGGGTTTGGGGTGATCCGGTGGGTGACGGTGATTGCTGGGGTGTGGTGGTGGTTGTTGGGACACGATGTTGGTTATTGGGGAGCAGTGTTGATTTTTGGGGTGCATTGTAGATATTTGAATGTGTGCTGATTGTTGGGGCACAGCGGTGATTTTGGGGGTTCGCTGGTGATTTGAGGGGTTTGTTCATGATTTTTGGGGTTCACTGGAGATTTTGGGGGTTTGCTGGTAATTTTTGGGTTTGTTCACGATTTTTGGGGTTCACTGGTGATTTTGGGGGTGTAATGCTGAATTTTGGCATGTATGCTGATTTTTGGGGTTTACTGGTGATTTTTTTGGGTTTGTTCATGACTTCTGGGGTTCCCTGGTGGTGTCAGGGTTCCCTGGTGATTGTTGGAGTTCCCTGGTGATGGCTGGTGTTCCCTGGTGGTTTTGGTGTTCCCTGGTGGTTTTGGTGTTCCCTGGTGATTGTTGCTGTTTCCTGGTGATTGTTGCTGTTTCCTGGTGATTGTTGGCGTTCCCTGGTGCTGTTGCTGTTTCCCGGTGATTGTTGGTGTTCCCTGGTGCTGTTGGCGTTCCCTGGTGCTGTTGGCGTTCCCTGGTGCTGTTGGTGTTCCCTGGTGGTTTTGGTGTTCCCTGGTGGTTTTGGTGTTCCCTGGTGCTGTTGCTGTTTCCTGGTGATTGTTGGCGTTCCCTGGTGCTGCTGGCATTCCCTGGTGATGGCTGGTGTTCCTGGGTGCTGTTCCCAGGAGGAGCTGGAGGCCGAGCGGGGCCGGCTGATGCAGGAGCAGGACGAGCTGGTGGCCGAGCTGGCGGCGCTGCGGCAGCAGCACCAGAGCGAGAAGCAGCAGGTGGGTGTCCCCGGCGCCCCCCCGGCCCTGCCCCTGCTCTGTGCCCCCCGGCTGAGCCGTGCCCCCCCAGGCCCTGGCCCTGCAGGAGGAGGAGAGGGCAGCCCTGGCAGAGACGCTGGCGGGGCTCCAGCGGAGCCTGGATGAGGCCACGGCCGAGCTGGAGCAGCAGCGGAGAGAGGTCACCACCCACCAGGAGAAGGAGCAGGTAGGTTTGGGGGGCTCCTGGGCACCCCCCAGAATGGCACAGAGCCCAGCATGTCCCCCCCGCAAACCCCATGCCAGGCTGTCCCCGCTCATGGCAACCCCCAAAGCTGAAGTGCCCCCTCCCATTGCAGCCCCTGTGCCTGGGGGTCCCCTATGGCCCCCCCATTGAGTCCCCTCATGTCTGGGCACTCCCTACTGCAACCCCCCCATGCGTGGGTGTTGCCTGTGGTCCCCCATTGCAGCCCCCATGCCTGGGTATCCCTCCTACTGCCACCCCTGATACATGAAAACCTCCTTGCTGCAGCCCCCCCGTGTCTGGGTATCCCCCATGACCCCCCTCATTGCAGACCCCCATGCCTGGGCACCCCCCCATTGCAACCCCTCCTGCCTGAGTCACACCCCCACCATTGCAAGACCACCCCAGTGACTCCCCTTCTTGCAGACCCCAGTTTCAAACCCCCCCTCTCCCCACTGCATCCCCTCAGCAATGGGGCTGCTCAGCTGTGGAACCTGAGCCTGCTCACCCCATCCCTGCACCGTCCCCATTGCACCCCCTCCCTGGAACCTCATCCCCATCTCACCCCTTGTCCAGAACCCCATTCCCACTGCATCCCTCTCCATGCCCCCATCCCCATTGCACCCCCTCCCTGGAACCTCATCCCCATCTCACCCCCTCTCTGTGCCCCCATCCCCATTGCACCCCCCCTCCTTGCCCCCATCCCCTTTGTACCCCCCTCTCTTGCCCTCATCCCCACTGCACCCCCTCTCCGTGCCCCCATCCCCGTTGCACCCCTCTCTGGGACCCCATCCCCATCTCACCCCTTGTACAGAACCCCACTCCCACTGCCCCCCTCTCTGTACCCCCATCTCCGTTGTACCCTTTCTCCGTGCCCCCATCCCCATTACACCCCCTCTCCGTGCCCCCATCCCCCTTTCCCCGCCCCCCGGCCCCCCCAGCCGGGTGTGGGGTCTCAGGGGGTCCTTGTCCCCGCAGTCCCTGTGCTCGGAGCTGCTCTCGCTGCGGGCGCGGGCGGAGGCGGCGGCTCAGACCCACGAGCGGGAGGCGCGGGCGCTCCGGGACCAGGCGGCGGCGGCGGCCAAGCAGCGGGACAGCGCCCTGCGGGAGGTGACCCCCGCCCCGAGCCCCCCTCGTCCCTGGACCCCCGGGCCCCCCCTGACGGCCCCGTTTTAGGCGGAGGAGGCGCGGGCGCAGCTGCGCTCGGCGGCCGAGGCGCGGGCGGCCGGGCGGCGGGAGCTGCTGGAAGCGCAGCGGGACGCCCGGGAGAGCCGGGAAGGGCGCGATGCGGAGCGGAGGCAGGCGCAGGAGGCGCGCAGGGCCCTGGGCGACGAGGCCAGGGAGAAGGAGACCCTGCGCCGCTCCAACGAGGAGCTGCGGGCGGCCCTGCGGAGGGCGGAGGGGGAGCGCATCAGGTCAGGGCCGGGGGGGCACGGGGGCACAAAGGGGGGATGGAGCACCTTGGAGGGTGATCCCCGGGGTGGGGGTGAGGATTGGCACACAGGGATGCTCCGGTTGGGATGGGGCAATGCTCCAGGTCCGGGTAACACTCAGGACAGGGGGATGGAAGTTTGTGGATGGGGAGATGCTCGGGATGAGGGGAAGCCGGAGCTGGGGTGCAGGAGTTGGGGAGATGCTCGGGATGAGGGGAAGCACAGGTTGGGAGGTGCAGGGGTGATGCAGCACCTTGGAGGGTGATCCCCGGGGTGGGGGTGAGGATCAGGACACAGGGATGCTCCAGTTGGGACGGGACAATTGCTCCACGTCTGAATGCCACTCGGGACAAGGGGATGGAAATCTGGGGGTGGGGGACTCGATGGGGGGACACCCAGGATGGGGGGACAGCCCGAATGGGGACAGCTTGGAGCGGGATGTGCCTGGCTCAGACAGGGCGATGCTCAGGACGCTACTGGGCCGGGGGAATGCTGGGATCCCCTGGGAGGTGCTTCCAGCCCCTACTCCCGCTTCCCGCAGCCTGAAGCGCTCCGGGGAGGACAAGGAGCAGCAGCTGGCGCTGCTGGAGGCGGGGCGGGCGGCGGCCGAGCGGGAGGTGACGGAGCTGCGGGCGGCGCTGCGGGAGCTGGAGCGCGGCCGCCTGGACGCCCGCCGGGAGCTGCAGGAGCTGCGCCGGCAGGTCCGGGGGCAGGAGAAGGAGGAGGAGGAGGAGGGTTATGAGGACCCCCCAAGCCATTCAGGGTGTCCCCAAGCCGCCCCCCGTCCCCTCCCGGGCCAGGTGAAGGACCTGGACAGCGAGAACAGCCGGCGGAGCAGGGAGGTGGGGGAGCTGCAGGCGCGCGTGGCGCTGGAGGAGCAGCGGGAGGAGCGGAGCCGCCGCGAAGCCTTCGGCCTCAGGAGGAAGGTGGCGGAGAGCGAGGCCGACACGGAGGCTGCCAGGAAGGAGGTGAGGAGTCCCCAAGGATCCCCAGGACCCCATTGCTTGGTGCCCCACATTCCAAAGTATCCCTGTCCCCCCCCGGCTGTGTGTCCAGAGGTGTTGCTGTCCCCTCACCCCACAGCTCGGTGCCTGCTGTCCCCAGTCACCCCCATCACCCCATAACTGGTATCCCGTGTCCCTGAGTGTCCCTGGGTGTCCCTGTCACCCCACCATTCCATTCCCTGCATCCCTGCAGGTCCCTGTATCCCATTGCTCCATTCTTGAAGGGTCTCCTATCACTCCATCCCCTCAGTCTCCCTCACCCTGTGCTCCATCCCTTGTATCCCCAATCACCCTATTGCTGTGTTCCCTGCATCCCTGGGGTCCCTCATTACTCCATTGCTCCATCCTCTGCATCCCTGGAGTTCCCTGTCGCCCCATTGCTCCATCCCCCATCACCCTATTGCACCATCTTCTGCATCCTTAGGGATCCCTCATAATCCCATTGCTCCATTCCTTGGCGTCAAAATCACCCCACTGCTCCATGCTCTGCATCCCTGGAGTCCCCCTTCATCCTATTGCTTCATCCCTGGGGTCCCCCTTCCCCCACTGCTCCATCTCCCACATCCTTAGGGGTCCTCCACCCCCACCACTCCCCCCCGCCTCTCCCTCACCCCGCTCTCCACCCCTGTCACCCCTCCCTGGCCCATCGCCCCTTCCCTCCCGCTCCCGCAGCTCCAGCAGCTCCAGCAGCGCCTGGCGGAGGCGGAGGCGGAATTCCGGCAGCGGGAGAAGGAGCTGGCGCGGAGCCTGGAGGAGGCTCGCGGCAACGAGAAGAAGCTGCTGGCGGACTCCCGGAACCTGCAGCTGAAGGTGGAGGCGGCGCGGGGCGAAGTGTCCGAGCTGAGCCTGCGGCTGAGCGCGGCCCAGGGCCGGGCCCAGGGGCTGGAGGCGGAGCTGGCCCGGGGCGAGGAGCTGCGCCGGGCGGCCGAGTCCCGGCTGGGCGGGCTCCAGGCGGCCCTGCGGAGAACCGTGGGCATGGCCCGGGCCCGGCCCGGCCCCCTGGCCCCCGGTGAGAGCCCCGGGGCTGCGGCAGGGCTGGGGGAGAGGGATGTGTCCTGCGGCGGGCACTGTGTCACTGGGGTTACCCGTCAGTCAGCCCACTGCTCCATCCCCCGCTTCCCTGGGTGCCACATGCCTGTTATTCCATCCCCTGCTTCCCTGGGGTCTCCTATTCCTCCATTCCCTGCATCCCTGGGGTCACCCATCACCCCATTGCTCCATCCCTGGGGGTCTCTCATACACCACTGCTCTGTCCCCTGCATCACCAGGGTCCCACATATCCCTTTACTCCCTTCTCTGCAGCCCTGGGGTCCCCAATTACTCTGTCCCCTGCATCCTTGGGGTTCCCCCTCACCCCATTGCTCCATCCCTGGGGTCCCCCCTGTCCCATTACTCTGTTCCCTGCATCCTTGGGGTCCCTCCCACCCCATTGCCTCATTCTTACATCCCTGGGTCCCCCATATCCCACGGGCACATCCCGTGGGATATGGTCCATCCCCCTCCCCCTCACATCCTGCCCTGGGTGCTGCTCCCGCTGTCCCCATTCCCGTTGTTTGTCCCCATTCCCGCTGTTTGTCCCCATTCCCGCTGTTTGTCCCACCCAGGCGGGGCCCCAGAGGGGTCAGGAAGCCCCGGCTCCTCCCCGGAGCCCGACCCCGCATCCGATCCCGAGGCGGCGCGGGCGGCCCTGCGGGAATTCCTACGGGAGCTGCAGGAGGCGCAGCGGGAGCGGGTACATCCCCCTTCTCCTCCCTCCCCCCCGCCGTTATCCCAAAAATCCCCTTTCCCAGCCCATTCCCGCCCCCAGGAGGAGCTGCGGGTGCAGGTCGGGAGCCTGGGCCGGCGCCTGGCGGAGGTGGAGCAGGATCGGGATAACGCCAATTCCCGGGCACAGCAGCTCCAGAAGCTCATGGAAGAGAGCGAGGAAGGTGATGGGGGTGATGGGATTTTTTGGGTGAGGTTTGGGGTGATTTGGCCTGCGCTGGACCCTTTTGGGGGAAGCTGAGGCACGGGGAGGGCGATGGTGCTGCCCAGACTGGAGGGTGGTCCCTGGGATTCCCCCCCCATGGCTCCAAAATCCTGGGAACATGGGTGAAACCTGCAGTGCAAACATAGGAACCCCAGTAAAACTGGTACAACTGGGAAAACTCCCCCCGCATCTCCTGTAAACCCCAGTGTAGCTGGTAAAAACCTCCATATATACCCCATAAATCCCAATAACATGGGTAAAACCCTTCTGGATCCCCTATAAACTCCAGTAAAACTGGTAAAAACCTCCATATATACCCCATAAACCCCAATAACATGGGTAAAACCCTTCTGGATCCCCTATAAACTCCAGTAAAACTGGTAAAAACCTTCCTACATCCCCTCTAAACCCCAATAAAATGGGTAAGGCCCCTCATCATCCTCCACAAATCCCAGTAAAACTGGTAAACTCCCCTATGGATCCCATGTAAATCCCAGTGAAACTGATAACCCCCCCCGTGCAGACTCCATGAATCCCAGTGAAGTGGGTAAAACTCCAGTGCAGGCCCCATAAATCCCAGTAAAACTGGTCACACCTGCTCTGGATCCCACGTAAACCCCAGTAAAACTGGTAAATGTCCCCTGTATTTCCTGTAAACCCCAATAAAAGTGGTAAAACCCCCCAAGCAAACTTCATAAATCCCAATAAAACTGGTAAAACCCCTGTGCATTCCCCATAAACTGCAGTAAAACTGGTAAATTTCCCTATGGATCCTGTGTAAATCCCAGTAAAACTGGGAAACCTGCTGTGCAATCTCCATAAATCCCAATAAAATGGGTAAAACCCCTGTGCATCCCTCTTAGACCCCAGTGAACCCTCCCTGCATCCCCCATAAGCCCTAATAAAACTGGTGAAAGCCCTTTGCATCCCACACCCACCCCGGTAAAACCGGGAAGTGCCCCGAGCAAACTCCATAAATCCCAGTAAAGTGGGTGAAACCCCCCTGAACCTCCCATAGACCCCAGTAAAACTGGTAAACCCCACTATGGATCCCCTGTAAATCCCAGGAAAACCAGCAGACATCCCATTCCTGCCCATTTTCCTGCTGAAGGGGGGTGGGGGCTGTGCCTTCCCAGGGCACTGCGGGGACCTGAGCAGCTCCCAGGCCACGCTCCTGCTCCAGGAGGAGACCCTGCGCCAATCCCAGCGGGAACGCCGTGAGCTCCGGGACAAGGTGGCGGCGCTGGAGCGGAGCCTCCGCAATTCCGAGCGGGAATGCCGGGCGGCACAGGTGGGCATTGCCACAAACCTCCCCTTCCAAATGGGAATGCCAGGTAGCACAGGTGGGCATCCCCATGTCCCTCTGCTTCCAAGTGGGAATTCTGGGCAGCCCAAGTAGGCATTCCCACATCACTTCCAAGTGAGAATGATGTGCGGCCCAGGTGGGCATTGCCACATCTGCATCCTCCATAAATCCCAGTAAAACTGGTGAACTCCCCTATGGATCCCATGTAAATCCCAGTAAAACTGGTGAGCCCCCCGTGCAGACTCCAGAAATCCCAGTAAAACTGATAAAACCCACTGTGCAAACTCCATGAATCCCAATGAAGTGGAATTCCAAGTGGGAATGCTGTGGGCATTGCCAGGTGGGCACGGCCGTGTGCCCGGCCCATCCCGGCTCCAGGCCGGCATTCCGGAGCCCTTCCCGCCCCGCAGGAGCGGCTGAGCGCGGCGCGGGCCGGGGGGGCCGAGCTCCTGGATGCCAAGCGGCGCCTGGAAGCGCTGGAGAGCCGGAGCTGCCGCCTGGAGCTGCAGCGGTGGGTGCTGGAGGGGGAGCTGGGCCGGACCCGGCGGGCACTGGGAGAGCGGGAAGCGGAGGCCAAGGAGGCCAAGGAACGGGCGGAGCTGCTCCAGAAACAGGTGTGGCCCCGATCCTGGGAAATCCCAGAAACAGCTGTGGCCCCGATTCCGGGAAATCCCACCACCCTGTTGATGAATCCAGTCCCCCCAGTTCCCCCTGAACCCCCTCCCAGTTCCCCCAACCTTTCTCACAGTTCTCCATTTCCCCCTGAACCCCTTTCCAGTCCTTCCAGTTCCTGCTCAACTCCATCCCAGTCTCCCCAGTTTCCTGCGAATCTCCTCCCAGTTCCTCCCAGTTGCCCCTGAACCCCCTCTCAGTTTGTCCCGTACCCCTTCCCAGCCCCCCAGTTCCCCCCATGCCCCTTCCCACTTCCCCCTGAACCCTCTCCCAGTTACCCCAGTTCCTCCTGACCCCCCTCCCCGTTCCCCCTGTACCCCTCCGAGTCCCCCCGAACCTTTTCCCAGTCCCCTAGTTTGCCCTGAACCCTCTCCCAGTCCCCCCAGTTCCCCCTGACCCCACCGCTGTGGTGTTGGGGTGCAGCTGGCCCAGAGTGAGCAGCGTTCCAGCACATTCCAGCTGCTCAGTGCCCCGCTGGACAGCGATTCCAAGGAGGATTCTCCGAGCTCTCCCTCCGTGTCCGATGGTTCCCTGCTCCAGGAGCGGCTCCAGCAGCTCCAGAGCGCCCTGACCGCCGGAGAGCTGGACCGGAGGGGGCTCCAGGTGGGATGGGAGCCCCGGGGGGACACGGGGTGGGGGGACACAGAGGGGTCCCCACAGGGGATCTCGGCAGTGTCCTGGTGTCCCAGGAGGGGCTGGAGGTGGGATGGAGATCCCGGTGGGATGGAGATCCCGGTGGGATGCCCATCCCGGTGTCCCGCAGGAGGGGCTGGGGGTGGGATGGAGATCCCGGTGGGATGGAGATCCCGGTGTCCCGCAGGAGGGGCTGGGGGTGGGATGGAGATCCCGGTGGGATGGAGATCCCGGTGGGATGCCCATCCCGGTGTCCCGCAGGAGGGGCTGGGGGTGGGATGGAGATCCCGGTGGGATGGAGATCCCGGTGGGATGCCCATCCCGGTGTCCCGCAGGAGGGGCTGGAGGTGGCGCGGCGGGCGCTGGCGGAGGCGCGGCAGGAGAAGGGAATGCTGCGGGAGCAGCTGCAGGGAATGCGGGAGCAGCGGGAGGAGCTGCAGCGCTCCAGGGACCGGCTGGAGGAACAGCTCCGACTGCGGGTGAGGGGGACCCCAAATTCCCTGACCTTTGACCCCGGGCAGGATCCCCTCAGCACCCTCTGCACCCCCCTCGCATCAACTCCCAGCCCCCCCTTGCCCCCATGCACCCCATTATATATAACATATAACATAAAGCATATAACATATAACATATAACATATAACATATAACATAATATATAATATGTAATATATGATATAGCATAATCTAATATAATCTAATATAACATAATATAATATATATAATATAATATATAAATATATATAATTTATTATATATTATTATATATTATAAAACATATATAATATAACAATAATAATATAAATATACCACATATAATACATATTATGTAATTATATATTATATTTTTAGAGTTATATTATTTGTAACATATAGTATATTTTCTATAGTTATATAGCATATTTAAAATATGTATTTTATAGAAATACATACACTACATAAATACTATGTATGGTACTATGCATACCATTATAAATTATTTTTATCTGTTTATATTATATATTTTCTGGTTCTGTGTATGTTTATCTATAAATATAATATGTGTATATATAATTTATAAAATAAATTTATTAATATTATAGTGAGATATTATTGTAACTATATATTTTTAGATATAATTATAGTTACATATTTTTCATATCTATTTAGAGACATACTTTTCTGGTTTATAGGGTTTTATATATTAGACAAATTTCTATATGTGATGGCTTTGGGTATATATTTATTAATATCTATTGACATCTATATTTTCCATTTTATATGTTTTAGTATATTATATGTATTTTAATACTTATTTTCATATATATCTTCTGCTTTTATATAAATTTTTATATACATTATATTTTAATATCTATAGATATTACACTTTTATATATTATATATTTATTACTATCTATTTACATCCATATATTTCATTTTATATGTTTTATATATTATACATATATTAATACCCATATTTATGATGTTTACATATCTTACACACACTTTGATATCTATTCCCATCTATGTTTTTCTGGTTTATATGTTTTAATATACATTATCCATACTTTAATATCTGTATTCCAATATAATAATATTAATATAATACAATTAATATAATATAATAATATATTATATGCTATATTAATATGTACATATATATTTTCTGGGTTTATATACACTTTTGTGTATCATACATAAGATATACTATATTTGTGTATATATGATGTATTGATTATCTACGTAATATATAATACATATTATATATAGCATATGCCATGTACTATGTAATATCTATGTAGGTATATATTTTCTGGGTTTATATACATTTTAATATATTATACATAATATATATTATATATTCTACTAGATAATATATGTAATATATAATACATATATATACTATATATGTGTATATATATAGTACATATATATATACACTATATAATACATATTACATATATTATATGCTATATATTATTATATGTACTAATAATATGCACTATTATTATATATTATATGTTATATAATATATATTATATACTATATTACACATAATATATAATATATATTATTTATAGTATTATATCGTATTGTATAATATGATATATATTCTATATTATTATTATATATTATGTGTAATATTATATATAATATATGATATAGTAATATAATATATTATTATATATTATATTATAATATAACCATAATATATATAATATATATAATATATTATTATATTTTATATTACTATATAGCATATATACTATATGCTATCTAATATATTATGAGGGTTATATACCTTTAATGTATTATACATAATATATAAAATATATAATATATATATAAAATACATATATAACATAACATATATAAAATTATATGTAATATAATATATTGTATATAATATATTTATAATACATAATTATATATAATATATATGTTTTATCTATAGACACAATTTTATATATATGTATTTTATATATATATCAAATCCTGTATTTTTCTGGGTTTACCGATGGTTTGATATGTTCTGTCCATATCCCACCCCCTGTTTTTTCCCCGCGTGTCTCCGCTGTGCCGCAGGTGGAGCGGGAGCCGCCGGGCTCCCGGGCTGAGCCCCTGCCGGCGGGGCTGGATCGGTCCCTGGGCAGAGCCGAGCGCGAGCTGGGCCAGGCTCGGACACGGCTGCGGGAGCTGCGGGTGGGTCACCCTGCCCGGGACAGCGGGCACCGGGGGCTGCCCCAGCCCGGGGCCTGGAGCGGGAGGGATGGGATGGGGTGGGGTGGGGTGGGGTGGGATGGATGGGATGGGATGGATGGGATGGGAATGGGATGGGGTGGGGTGGGGGGTGTGGGATGTATGGGCAATGCTGGGATGGGCTGGAGGGGCTTGGCTGGATGGCTGGTCTGGTGCTGGTTGGGTTGGTGTTGGGCTGGACTTGCATGGCTGGAGATGGTGGATGGGTGGGCTGGCTGGGCTTGTCACTGGATGGGATGGGATGGGATGGGGTGGGGTGGGGTGGGGTGGGATGGATGGCTCCTTAGGGAGCTCATCCCACCTGGAAGGATGCTGGGGATGGCACTGGGATGGCGCTGGGCTCATCCCAGTTTGGGAAGGATGCTGGGGATGGCACTGGGATGGCACTGGGATGGCACTGGGATGGCACTGGGCTCATCCCAGTTTGGGAAGGATGCTGGGGATGGCACTGGGATGGCACTGGGCTCATCCCAGCTGGAAGGGAGGTGCTGGTCGGCACTGGGAGTTTGCTGAGCAGCTTTTGGGGCTCCTCCCTTCCTGGCAGGATGCTGGGGCTGGTACTGGGATGAGGGTGTTTATGGGGCCCTTCCCAGCTCCGGGAGACACAGGTGCTGGTCCTGGGATGGTGCTGGGCTCTTCCTTGGGCTTATCCCATTTTGGGAGGGTGCTGGTGCTTGGACTGGGAGGGGGTTGATGCTGTTTTTTGGGCCCTTCCCACCTTGCACTGGGATGGCACTGGGATGGTTTTTGGGGTGCTTCCCAGCTCCAGGGAATGCTGGTGCTGGTCCTGGGATGATGCTGGGCTCATCCCAGCTGGAAGGGAGGTGCTGCTGCTGGTACTGGGTGGCACTGGGATTGTTCATGGGGCCCTTCCCAGCTCTGGGGGACACTGGTGCTTGCACTGGGATGGCACTGGGCTCTTCCCTGGGCTCATCCCTTCTGAGAGATGCTGGGATGGCACTGGGCTCATCCCACATTGAAGGGACATGCTGGTGCTAGGATGGCCCTGGGTTCTCCTGGGGCTCATCCCAGCTGGAAGGGAGGAGCTGGAGCTGGTCCTTGGATGGCACTGGGTTCGCTTTTCGGGAGCATTTCCCAGCTCAGGGAGACACTGGAGCTGTTCCTGGGATGGTGCTGGGCTCTCCCCTGGGCTCATCCCCTTTTGGGAAGGTGCTGTGCTTGCCCTGGGGGGTGCTGGGCTGTTTTTGGGGTGCCCTCCCCAGAGTGCCCAGTTTTGGGGTGTTGTCCAGGCACAGGTGTCGGCGCTGGAGCTCCGCTCTGCTCCCGCTCTGGGATCGTCCCCGGAGCTGCAGCGGGAGCTGGAGCAGCTGCGGATCGGGCCCAGCCTGGAGGAGCAGGTGAGGGGACACCCCGGGGGGGGACACTGTCCCCTCCTGCCACCCTCCAACCTCCCCCATTCCTGGCAGATCACGCTGCTGAAGGAGCAGGAGCTCCAGCGTCACCCCCCCGGGATTTAGGGACATCCCGGGACACCCGCAGGGACTGGCACAGCCCATGGAGGAGGGGGATCCATCCCCATCCCAAAAAACCATGGCAGAGACCATCACAGCTCATTCCATGGAGGAGGGGGACCCATCTCCATCCCTGCTCCAAACCCACAGCAATTTTTGCCTCCAAAGCTACACTTTTCCAGTGAGACGACCAAACTTGTCTATTTTTGATACAATTTGGGGCCTGTTGGATGGTTTTCCCATTTTCCTATTGCTTTTTTTAACAAAAAAAAGAGGGAAATATTCCCTGTTTTTAGTGCCAGAAGAACCAACTGGTTTATTCCCACTCACCACATCCTACTTCCCCCCTTTTTCTAACACAAAACTCCCTGGATTGGTGCTTTTAAAGGCTTTTTTTAGCAAATAGTGGGATTTTTTTATGGCTGTTTTTGGAACTGGGGTTTTTTACTGGTGCTATGGGGCAGCTTGAGGTTGGAAAACCCGCTGGAATCGAGGTGGTGGCTTCGAGTTCCCCCAAATCCTTGGCATTCCTGGCACGAATAAAGGTGGAGAAATCCAGACTGGGAGCTCTGAGGGAATTTTTTGGGGAAGGTTTAGCAATTTGAGATGTCCAAATGTGGGGCTGGTGGGGCACAAGGGTTGAGTTGGGTCCCTAAATAAATAATAATAATAATAATAATAATAAACAACAGAATCAATGATAAGAAGTAGTAATAAATAGCAAGTGATGATAATAACTGCCTCTATAGATTAGAAGTACACCCTATAGATGGGAGATGCACCCCACAGAGGGGAAGTACATCCTATAAATGGGAAATACACCTTACAAATGGGAAATGCACCCTATAGAGGAGAAATGCACCCTGTAGAGGGGAAATACACCTTATACATGGGAAATACACCCTACAGAGGGGAAACACACCCTATAAATGGGAAATACACCCTATAGAAGGGAAATGCACCCTATAGATGACAGAGGGACTCACTATAAACTAGACACACACCACCTTCAAGAGATATAAGTCCTATAGGAGATACCCTATATGAGAGCTACTCACTATACCAGAGCTGCACCCTATAGATGAGAGATACGAGGGGTGCTGTGTATGGAACACACCCTACAGACAGGAGAGACACACTGTGTACAGTAACCCTATAGAGACACCCCCTGTGTATGAGGTGCAGGCTACAGGTGAGGGAAACACCCTACAGATGAGAGAAACCCCCTATAGACAAGACCTATGGGCTTCAGGGAGAGAGACAACCTGTAGACAAGAGGGAAACCCTGTATATGAGAGACACCCTATATTGCAGAGCTGCACCCTATACACAAGAGAAACGGGCTGGGGACTAAAGCCACATCCTATAGACAAGACATACACACTATAGAGGAGAGCTGCACCCTATAGAAAAGGAATACAGGCTGGAGAGAAGAGATACACCCTATATATGAGACACACCCTATAGATATGAGCTGTACCCTATACATGAGAAACACACACTATAGACAAGAGATGCACCTTACACATGAGACACACACACTACAGACAAGAACTGTGTCATATATGAGAGCTGCACCCTATATAGGGCAGCTACACACCATGTACAAGAGCTGCACCCTATATAGGGCAGCTACACACCATGTACAAGAACTGCACTCTATATAGGGCAGCTACACACCATGTACAAGAACTGCACTCTATATGGGGCAGCTACACACCATGTACAAGAACTGCACTCTATATAGGGCAGCTACACACCACAGACAAGAGCTGCATCCTATATAGGGCAGCTACACACCATGTACAAGAGCTGCACCCTATACACGGGAGAAACAGGCTGGGGGACTAAAGCCACACCCTATAGACAAGGCATGCACACTATGTAGGAGAGCTGCACCCTATACACGGGAGAAACAGGCTGGGGACTAAAGCCACACCCTATAGACAAGGCATGCACACTATGTAGGAGAGCTGCACCCTATAGGCAAGAAATAATTGCTGTAGAGAAGAGATACACCCTATATATGATACACACCCTGTAGATAAGAGATCCACACTGTATAGGAGAGCTGCACCCTATAGAAAAGGAATACAGGCTGTAGAGAAGAGATACACCCTATATATGAGACACACCCTATATACAAGAGCTGCACCCTATATACGAGCTCTGCACACTCTACAGAAGAGCTACAGCCTATACATATCATATAGGAGAGCTAAACACCCTAAAGGAGAGCTTAATCCTATATACAAGAGCTGCACCCCATACACGAGCTCTGCACACTCTACAGAAGAGTTCCAACCTATACATATCATATAGGAGAGCTGCACACCCTACAGGAGAGCTGCATCCTGTGGACAAGAGCTGCACCCTCCACGATTTCCCATAAGAGACCTGCAGGAACTCCCCCTCACCCCAAACCCCTCCAGCCCCCCCTGTTCCCCTGATGGGAATCACACCTCAAACTTCCCCCCTTTCCATAGGGAATCTGAGCCACAAACACCCCAAAACCCTTTTATTGTCCACAACTCCCAGAATTGACCCCAAAATCGTTTATCTTGTGCTTTTTTCTATAAGAATCCCTCAAATTAAGACTCCCCCAAATCAGGACCCCCTGAGTTACCTCCTCTGCTCCACATCCCCCCAAACCACTCCAAAATAACCACTTTACACCCCCCAAAATCCCCTTTACAAGCATGCCTGTACTGACCTTTTTTTCCATGACTCCACAAAATTAAGACCCCCAAAATTACTCCCCCACACTGCTCCACATCCCCCCACACCACCCCAAAATAACCATTTTACACCCCCTGAAACCCTTTAATTGTCCAGAGCTCCCAGAATTTACCCTAAAATTGTTTATCCTGTGCTTTTCTCTATAAGAGCCCCCAAATTACCTCCCCACTGCTCCACATCCCTCCAAACCACCCCAAAATAACGACTTTACACCCCCAACCCCCCCTTAATTGTCTGTAACTCCCCAAATTTACCCCAAACACACCTGTACTGAACGTTTTCTATAAGACTCCCCCAAATCAAATCCCCCAAAATTAAGCCCCTCCCCCCTTGCACCATATCCCCCCAAACCACCCCAAAATAACCATTTTACACCACCTGAAACCCTTTAATTGTCCAGAACTCCCAGAATTTACCCAAAAATCGTTTATCCTGTGCTTTTCTCTACAAGAATCCCCCAAATTAAGACCCCCCCCAATCACCTCCCCACTGCTCCACATCCCCCCAAACCACCCCAAAATAACCACTTTACACCCCCCGAAATCCCCTTTATTGTCTGTAACTCTCAGGATTTACCCTAAAATTGTTTATCTTCTGCTTTCCTCTATAAGAATCCCCCAAATTAAGACCCCCCAAATCAAACTCCCCTAAATTACCTCCCCACTGCTCCACATCCCCCCAAACCACCCCAAAATAACCATTTTACACCCCCCCCTTTATTGACTGTAACTCCCCAAATTTACCCCAAACACGCCTGTACTGAACATTTTCTATAAGACCCCCCCAAACTAAAGCCCCCCCAAACCCGCCCCTCGCAGCCCTCCCTCCCCCGGGCAGGGCCGGGAATCGCTCAAATCCTTGGGAAACCCCCTGGAAAACCGGGAATCCTCCCCAAAGAACGAGCCGGGAGCCGCGGTCGGTGTGGGATTCTCTCTGTAGAAAACTCGGGGCCGAGCCCCCCCTTTTCCAAAACGACAAAAGAAAGTCATAAAAACAATAAATCCCTCCCCCTCCCCCCCTTTTTTTCCCTGTTTTTATTTTGGGTTTAATTCTTTCCGCGCACAAAAAAACGGTGGGAAAAGGCTCCTTCCGTGCCTTTCCCGGGTTGCGGAGCCCCGCGGCGGGCCGGGAGCGGGGCCGGGATGGGCGGGATGGGGTCGGGAAGGGGGTCCCGGCTCAGCAGCCCCCGCAGCTGCGGGCGCAGGACGCGCCCACGGCCGCGCAGAGCCCGCTCGTGGCCATCACCCCGCACTTGGAGAACTTGTCCCGGCACAGGTCAGCTGCGGGAGAACACCGGGATCAGCCGGGAACGCCGGGAAAGAGGGGAGGAGAGGCGAGAAACCCACCCTCCCGGTGGGGATGGGAACGGCAGGAGGATGGGTGGGGGCAGCCCCCAAAATAGGGGCCCACGCTCAGGGACGGGCAGAGAGTGGCAACGGCTCGTCCCGGGGGAGGGGATCCATCCCCATCCCCATCCCAATCCCTATCCCAATCCCCATCCCCATCCTCATCCCCATCCCAATCCCCATCCCCATCCCAATCCCCATCCCCATCCCCATCCCCATCCCCATCCCAATCCCCATCCCCATCCCCATCCCCATCCCCATCCCCAATCCAATCCCCATCCCCATCCCCATCCCCATCCCCATCCCAAGAAACACAGTTTATCCCATGGGGGAGGGGGATCCATCCCCATCCCAAAATCCCCAGTTCATCCCATGGATGAGGAGAATCCATCCCCATGCCCATGCCCATCCTCATCCCAAAATCCACAGCTCATCCTGTGGGAGAGGGGGATCCATTCCCATCCCCATCCCCATTCCCATCCCCATCCCCATCCCCATCCCCATCCCCATCCCCATCCCCATCCCCATCCCCATCCCCATCTTCATCCCAAAATCCACAGCTCATTCTCTGGCGGAGGGGGATCCATCCCCATCCCCATTCCCATCCCCAAATCCGCATCTCATCCCCTGGGGGGGAGGATCCATCCCCATCCCTGCTCCCAAACCCCCCAGCAGAGCCTGGCCCATTCCGCGGGAGTCGCTGGAGCAGCTCGGTTTGGCCGGGGGGATTTTTCCCGATAATTCCTGGGGAATTATTCCCTTTGGATATAATTCCCTTTGGATTCCGATCCCTCCCCACCCTTTGGATCCCTCACCTCGCAGCAGCTCCTCGTGGGCGCACACGGTGCGGACACAAATCTCCTTGTTGATGACGTAAACCCGGCGGAGGCTGGATCGGGAACGGGAGAAAAGCCATAGAAGGGGGGGGGTCGGGAAAAGCAGGGGGGATTCCCAAGCTTTTTGGGAGGCTCGGGAAGGGTTTCCCGCTCACCTGTAGAAGCAGATCTCGTTCAGGCACTGCTTGCACGGCTTGTGCACCGAGTAGAGCCGCGTGCAGGGATACTGCTCCTCCCGGCAGTCTGCGGGAAAACGCGCTGGGAATTCCCGCAGAGGGGCCCGAACGCCTCCCCCCTGCCCCCCGGCTCGACACATCCCGGCTCCAGAGGGATCAAAGGCAGGATGAGCCCCCCCGGGATCGACACTCACCCAGCGGTCCCGGCTCCGTGGGCTCGGTCTCGGGGGCGGCGGCTGAGGAGGGAAAGGAGGGGGAAGTTTAGGGATGGGGAAAAGGATCTCCCCGCCCTTTCCCTGGAGTTTAGGGCTGGAGTAAAAGGATCTCCCTGTCCTTTCCCTGGAGTTTAGGGCTGGAGTAAAAGGATCTCCCTGTCCTTTCCCTGGATTTTAGGGCTGGAGTGTCCCGCTGTGGGCACCCAGGGGGAGCAGAACTGGGATGGGGGAGCAGAGGGGGGGGAGACCCCTCAGCCCTGGGATTGAGGGGGCCAGGGGGGTTGTCACCCACCTTGGGGAGCTGTCACCCACCCTGGAGGGTCTGTCACCCATCCTGGAGGGCTGTCACCCACCTTGGGGGATTGTCACCCACCTGGGGGGGTTGTCACCCCCCTTGGGGGCTTATCACACTCCTCAGAGGGTTGTCACCCACATGAGGAGACTGTCACCCACCCGAAGGGGTTGTCACCCCCCTGGAGGGTCTGTCACCCACCTCGGGGTCTGTCACCCACCTTGGGGGGTTGTCACCCATCTTGGGGACTGTTACCTACCTGGAGAGGTTGTCACCCACCTGGGGTCGGGGCCGGCACAGTTTCCTGCTGGGATTGCTGCTGGGATTGGTACCGGAACTGCTCCTCGGGGGCACGGGGGGTGACATCTGCAGGGACAGATGCAGAGCGGGGGCATCCCCCCAAATTCCCGCCCCATCCCACCCCCCCCCGGCACCCCCGGGGGTCACTCACCATGGTAGTCGTAGTAATCCTGGATTTCTGGGGAACAAAAGGAAACCAGAGGCTGAGGGGGGGGTCTAGGGAGCAAACTCAGCCCAGCCAGGCCGGGGCTGGGCAAAGAGCTCCCGAAAATTTGGGTGGGAGCGATGGGAAAACACTTCTGGACATCCCAGGGATGAACTGGGAGCATCCAGCAGGTGGGGTTTGGAGATTAATGAAGGTTTAGTGGATAATTGATGAAGGTTTAATAAATAATTGGCAGCACGAGGGAGGGGAGAGGAGGGGGAGGAGAGGGGAGAGTGTCATGTGTTGGGAATTCAAGGGGCAGGAGAAAAGGGATGGAGCAGAGGGTGCTGGAGGGAAAAGAGGGACAAGAGTGGTGGGTGTTCGGCCAGAGGAAGCAGGAAATGAAGGGGAAAAGAAGCATTCCCAGTTGTGGGAGCTCTCACCTGCCTGCTGGTCGTACTGGGAGTACTGGACGGGCTCGGGGTAGGTGATGCCCTCAAAGCGGCTGTACTGGCCCTGCACCAGCAGCACTGCGGGACACGGGGGGTCACCGGGGCACGGACACCCCAGCCAGGGACTGGGGTTCCCAAAATCCCATCCCTCTGCCCTCTGTGTCCCCGGGAAGAGGGAAGGGGCTGCTCCTGGATGAGGGAGCAGCAGCAGCCTGGGGTTTCCCAGCGTTATCCAGCTGGGGCTGATCCCATGGATCTGCAATCCCGGAGAAGGGTCCAGCACCCAGGGACCCCGGGGATGGTCCCGACAAGGATGGTACCCCCTGCATCCCGCTGGGAGCTCCCCCTGACATGGATCCAGGGGGAAAACAGGGATCAAAATCCAGCCTGGATGAGTTGAAGGGATCAGAATGTTCGGAGGGCGGATCAGATCATTCCCATCCCCATTCCCATGGATTGCAGGGATCCATCCCTGGACACAGGGATCAGACCCATCCCTGGACACAGAGATCATCCCCATCCCTATGGATGGCAGGGATCCATCCCTGGACACAGGGATCAGACCCATCCCTGGACACAGGGATCAGACCCATCCCTGGACACAGGGATCATCCCCATCCCCATGGATTGCAGGGATCCATCCCTGGACACAGGGATCATTCCCAGCCTGGTGCCAGGAGCATCCCTGAGCTGGGAATGATGGGATTTCTCTCCCCTTCCCCCCCTTCCCTTGCCCTGGAATGTTTTCCATGTGTCCCTGGCCGTTGTTTCCCCCGAAGTTTTCCAGGCTCCAGGCTCTGTCCTCTCCCTCCCTGTTTCCATCCCGCCTTTCCCAGCCCTCCCAGGGGGTTATAAATCTCATTTTCCTGGATTTTATCCCAGCCCTGAAGTGCCAATTTTGTGCCACCTTCGTGTCCCCAGAGCAAGAGGTGCCAGACCCCTCATGACCCCAAATCTGAGCCATTCCCAGCCTAAATATCGGGAATTTTGGGTTGATTTGAGGGAATAATGGGGACAAGCCCTGCCTGTCCCACTGGGGGTGGTGACACCTCCCTCCAAGGGTGCTTTGGGACCAAAAACTTCACCCTTTGCAGCCTAAAAAATGGATTTTTGGAGGCTCCAAAGGAGGCTTTGGTCCCCAAAACGGGACTCTGGGAGCTAAAAATGAGGCTTTGGGCCAAAAAACCGAGCATTTGGCTCCAGAAATAAAGATTTGGCCTCTAAATCTGCAGCTTTGGACCTTCGAAACCAAGACTTTGGGCCTCCGAGCGGTGCTTTTGGGCCTCAAAAAGGGGGTTTAAGGCTTAAAAATGAAGGTTTTTACCCTAAAAACGAGGTTTTCAACCACAGAATCAAAGCTTTGGACTCCAGAAATGAGCATTTGGGACCTAAAAATAAGGGGTTTAGCCCTAAAACTGGGGTTTAGACCCTACAAATGAGGCTTTGGGATATGAAAGAAGGGGTATAGACCCTAAAAGTGGGGGTTTGACCCTAATAATGAGGTTTTCAATTACAAAATCAAAGCTTTGGACTCCAAAAATGGGGATTTGGGACCTAAAAACGAGGCTTTGAGACCTAAATATAAGGGGGTTAGCTCTAAAAGTGGAGTTTAGACCCAAAAATGAAGTTTTGGGACCTAAAAATAAGGGGTTTAGATCTAAAAGTGAGGTTTAGACCCTAAAAATGAGGGTTTAGACCCAAAAAACAAGGTTTTCAACAAGACAATCAAAGCTTTCAGCTTCAAAAATGAGGATTTGGGACCTAAAACTGAGGCTTTGGGACCTAAAAATGAGGGGTTTAGCTCTAAAAGAGGGATTTAGATCCTAAAAATGAGGGGTTAGACCCTGAAAGCAAGGTTTTCAACAAAAGAGTCAAACTTTGGACTCCAAAAATGAAAATTTGGGGTGTAAAAATGAGGCTTTGGGACCTAGAAATAAGTGTTTTAGCTCTAAAAATGGAGTTCAGACTCCAAAAATGAGGATGTGGGACCTAAAAATAAGGGGGTTAGCTCTGAAACTGGGCTTTAGACCCTAAAAATGAGGGTTTAGACCCTAAAAACAAGGTTTTCAACAAGAGAATCAAAGCTTTGGACTCCAAAAATGAGGATGCGGGATCGAAAAATAAGGTTTTTAGCTCTAAGAGTGCGGTTTAGATTCTAAAAATGAGACTTTGGGACCTAAAAATAAGGGGTTTAGCTCTAAAAGCAGGATTTAGACCCTAAAAATGAGGGTTTAGACCCTAAAAACAAGGTTTTCAACAAGAGAATCAAAGCTTTCGGCTTAAAAAATGAGGATTTGGGACCTAAAACTGAGGCTTTGGGATCTAAAAAATGAGGGTTTTAGCTCTAAAAGAGGGATTTAGATCCTAAAAATGAGGGTTTAGACCCTAAAAATGAAGGTTTGGCCCCTCTAAGATACGTCTGAGTTCAGAAATGAGGGGCTGGATGGTAAAAACGGAGCTGTGGAGCTGGAAAACGGGATTGGGATAATTGAAGTGGCCCTGGGGAGGGGCCTCTCACCTGGCAGGCACAGCACGAAGAGCCCCGTCCCTCTCATCCTGCTGGAATGACGGAGGAGCAGCCGGAGGAGTCTGGGAAGAGAGGGAATGCCGAGGGAGCGGGGGAGGGGCCCAGGGAACCCCCCATTCCCAGCCCCCACACACGGAGATGCCCCCGGGAATTGGCTCCAAAAAAAAAAAACCCTCCCCAAACCCTCCGAAATTGAGAAATTTTCCCCCAAAAAGGCAGGCGGGGCTCCCCCCCCCCCCCTCCCCCGAGGGATTCGCGAGGACCAAGCCCTGGAATACCCGGAGGCAGGACGGGGATGGGAAAGGCCGGGATGGGGGAGGAGAGGGTTGGACCTCCCGGGGACAACAGAGCCCGGAGGGGAGCTTTGGGGCTCCTCTCCTGGGATTTCCAACCCAATTCCTTGGGAAAGGGCTCGTTCTGGGGGTTCCCTGCTGGGAATGCAGCCCCTCAATCCAAAGGGATGCAGAGAATTGAGGGGGAAAATAGGGATTTTAGGGAAAATAGGGATTTGAAGGAAAATCCCGTGCAGAGGCTGGGGTTTGGCAGCCGTGGGCGCTCCTGCTTCCCTGGAGTTTTCCAAGTCTGCTTTTCCTGGCAGGAAGATGGGGCAAGGCTGGGATGAGCTGGGATGGCAGGAATGCCAGCAGCCCTGCCCCTCATCCCGAGCCAGAGCCAGGGGGAAAACTGAAGGGAAAAGAGAAACTCTCCCCAAAACCATCCCAGATCCTGGGGGGAATGAGGCTCCAGCCCTGGCACACTGGAAGGGGGGTCTGTGGGAATGGAGGCACCATCAGCTTCCAGGGGTCCCATCCTGACCATCACCAGTGGGGCACATTCCAGGGATCCCATCCTGACCATCAGTGGAGTGTGGGACCTTCCAGGGATCCCATCCCAACCATCATGAGGGTGGCACATTCCAGAGATTCCATCCTGACCATCTCCAGGCTGGCACATTCCAGGGATCCCATCCTGACCATCCCCAAGCTGGCACATTCCAGAGACCAACAATTCTCTCCCACAAACCCTTCCTGCCCCCGTGTCCTCACTGTCACCACAGTCCAGCACCTTCCAGGGACACCAAACCTGCATCCTGCCCCAAACCCAGAGCTGTCTCCCAAAAAAACCCTCCTGGCCACCAAGTCCTCACCAGCACCACGGGACCACATCCTGCCCCCCCACCGAGGCCCAGCAGCTCCCAGGGATCATGTCCTGCCCCAAACCTGGAGCTGTCTCCCAAAAAACCTTCCTGCCACTGTGTCCTCACCGTCACCAAAGCTCCTTCCAGTGACCTGTCCTGCTGCCAGAGCTGCATGTTCTGGTCATCACGTCCCCAGGGGCACCAAAGGCACCTTCAGGGACCAGGTCCTGACCCAAAACCAGAGACATCTCCCAAAAAACCCCTCTGGTCACCACGGCCTCAAGAGCAACCAAGAGCAGCATCTTCTGGGGTCCCATCCTGCCCCATCCCCAAAGTGCAGCACCTCCCAGGGATCCATCCTGCCCCAGACCTGGAGTGTTGCCCCTCCTGGTCCCCGTGTCCCCAGGGCCACCAGAGCCCTTGCAGGGCCTGTATTGTCCCTGTGACCAAGGCCCAGCACCTCGTGGCCACCACGTCCTGCCCCTACCCCACCCCCAGCTCACCCTCCCAGCCCCACATCCCCTCCAGGATCCTCAAGGCCCCGGAGGTGTTACCAAGTGACTCCAGACCCTTCCCAGCTTTGGGACACTCCTGGGGTCGTTCCCAACCTGAGCCGGGCCGAGGTGGCTGAGCCCAGCCCTGAGGGTGCCAAGGGCAGCACCCCCGGCCCCCCATCCCCACCCCAGGGTGCCCTCGGTGGCACTCAGGGCCCTGCGTGTCCCCACTGCTTCCCACGGCCCGGGAAGGCCCAGACATGGATTTAGCCAGGGCTAAATGTGTCCCGGGATAACGGGGATTGTGGGCGGATGAGCAGGATCAGCGCGGCTCCGGAGGCTCTGCCGGGTGTTGGGGCTGCTGGTAGAGCTTGGCTGTGGGACAGGGGCTGGGGCCTGGCCAGGGGGGACCCAGAGGGGCTGGAGGTGCCCATCCTGGCCTTGGCTGCTTCTCCAGGTGTCAGAATTCCATGGGATTCCAGCACCGACATCCTGTGGCTCCAAAACACCCCGATCCAGTGTCTATATCCCATCAGGAGAGCCTGGGGCAAGGCTGCTGGGTGTTTGGATGGACAGATGGATGATGGATGGATGACTGATGGATGGAGGGATTCCCATCCATCTGGGATTTCCTCCAGAGCCATCACACACCATCCTCCCACCGTTCCAAGGACCTGGCCCCACAGCTCGGGAGCAACCTCTGTTTTTCCACCCCAAATCCCCCCCGATCCAGAGCCTGTATCGCACCAGGAGAGCCTGGGGCAAAGCTGCTGGGTGCTTGGATGGATGGATGGATGGATGGATAGATGGATGAATTTTCACTTCTGGAGTCATCCCACTCTGTCCTCCCCCCATTCCCAAGGACCCGGCCCCACAGCTCGGGAGCGACCTCCCCTTACCCCCCAGACCAGCCTGCAGAGCTTCTCCTGAGCTCCAGTTCCTGGGATTCCCCCCAGACACGGAGCTCTTGGCCCGAGCTCGGCCCCTTTGGCCGCGGGACGGGGACAGACGGGTCACGTCTCCCCCGACGGCGATTCCAAGGTCTGCTCCCGCCGGAGCCCCCGGAGTGGCACCGGCACCGCCGGGACACCCCAAAGCCACCAAGGAGGGCACGGAGCCACCTCCACCCTCCTCCTCCTCCTCCTTCTCCTTCCCCACCTTTGCCTTTTCCAGGATGGGACCCGAGATTCCCTCTTTCCCAACACTCCGTGCAGGGGTCCGGCGGCTCCAACCGCGCCAGATGTTTTTGCAACTCCACATCTGGGAACAATCAACCCCAGAGAAAGAACAGCACAGTCCCTTTCATTCTGCTAAACCCCACCTTCCCCCAGCCTCCCCCCCTCCCCCAGCTGCTTTTCTTTTTTTTCCCCATTTTCCTTTCTTTTCTTTTTTTTTTTCCTCCCTAGCTCTCCAGTTGCCAGAGAGTGGGAGAACAAAGGGAATATAAAAGGATTCCCATTTTTTTTGGCCCTCGCTCAAAGGTACAAAACTCGGTGCCCCCATCCCCGTTTTCACACCTCACTTTTTCCTCGGGGTCCCGTCCCCCCAAATCCACAGAAACAATCAAAGAGCCCTTTCTAGAGTCTCTTTCCAGGGTGGAAAAAAACCCCACCTCGGCTTCCTTCAGGTTTAGGCTGAAGGTTTTCAGCTTTAGGATATTTTTAGACTTTCTGGAAGTGGTTAAAAAATCTCCTCCAACAACTGTCAGGCCTCTGAAATTGGTCCCCCCCCCGCGGCTGCCGTTCCTTCAGCACCCCAAAAATCGAGTGGGGTTTGGTTTTCTGGGATTAAAGAGTTCAAAGCAGCTTTTCCGAGCTGCCCCAACCCATGGAGGTTCTAAGGTGATTTTGGAAAGCCCCAGGAAAGGGGATTTAGCCCCCTTTGCTGCTGGGGGGGGGGGGTCCCCAGAATTCCTGGGAATGGGGGAGTCTCTCCCGCCTGGTCCTTACCAGTTGGTGACGGCTCTACCCTTTCCCACCGCCTCGGTCTCTTCTCTCTGCTTTCCAAAAACTCTGGAAATGAGAGTTAAAAAAAACCACAAAAAACCCAAAAAAACCTCCTACCTCCAACATGGGGGATCCGCTGGGTCCTAAAGCCACACCTGGGCCGGCCCCTTCCTGCTCCCGCTGCTGCCTGGGAGGGGAAAAACCGGGATAATAATTCCAAATAATAACCAGTGAGAGCTTCTCCATGCGAAGGGCATCGGGGCAGTTGGGGTTTTGCTGTTTCTTGGGGTTTTTTCCCGGTTGGATGAATTTTAAACCCATTTAAGAGCAAGGAGGGAGAAGGATTCCGTGCAGCACCGGCACGGATCGGGCTGGGATTCGTGCTGCTGGAGGGGCAGATCCAAGGATCAGGGCAGGGAATTGTTGGATCATCTCGTCAGCTTTTGGGAAAAGTCAAATACACCCCAAAATTTGGGCTGCTGGGCCCCCGTCCCCCCTCCTGATCCACTGACATTAGTACTCCACCTTCCCCCGGGGCAGAGGATGCTGCGATCCCGGGGGATTTAAAGTTTTATCCCAGGACGGAGGGGGGAAAAGGCAAAATTCCCCTTTTCCCACCCAGGCTGAGGACGTGCAGCCCTGGGTGTGGGGGGGGGGGAGCCAGCACTGCTGCCCGTGGGGCCCCCTTTTCCCTGGATTGCTGGCGGCTTTCCAGAGGACACGGAATACCGGCTGCGTCCCGGCAGGGCTTGGGATGATCCCCAAAACCCCCCGAGCCTGGAGGTGACACAGAGCCCAGAGCTGCGGGATGAAAACCTGCGGATTTTAGGAGTAAAACCAACAGGGAGCAAACAGAGGGTGCTGGGATGGAGGGAAAACGACTCTGGAGATGGGAATGGGGATGAGGAGCCGCGATTTTTATCCACGGGACGGGATTCCACCCGGCTCACACGGGGTCGTGCAGCCAGGAGAGGGGCTGACTGCTCCCAAAACCAGGAACACGTGGATTTGCAGAGCAGGATAAGCAGCAGACAGGGTTTAAAAGAGCTCCCATCTCCTCCCGAGCCTGGTTTTCCAGGTTGAAGGATGGATAAAACCATCAAATGACTCCAAACACAGCTGCTCCCGGCCCCCAAATCCAGCATTATCCTCATCCCAGTCCTGGTAACCTTTATCCAAGGGCAGGAGTTGCCTGTTAATAATTAAATGGACTTTATAACCCCCCTGGGGCCGGGAACACCCTCAGAATCCAGCCAAGCCAAACACCCCGAGGGGAGTGTGGAAATTCCAGGGGGAAGAGGAGTCCTGGGTGCCTTTGCTTTGCAAACCGCCAAGAACAGGCAGAATTCTCCGAGATTTGTGTGTGGGGAGGTTTTTTTTAGGCTCGGGAAAGTCTGGTTTAATAACTCCAGCCTTGGCTGGGATTTCAGGAAACCTCTTACCTCTGCTTGTGCCTCATTTCCTGACCTAATCCCCAGCTCCCGGAGGGCAGAGAGGCCGCCGGCGCTCGGAGGGGGAGAGACTTTCCATGGAGACAAGTTCCCGCAAGAACCAGCCTCTGATCCGAGAGCCAGGCTCGCAGGCAGCTGGAAAAGCCTGGGAGGGGGATGCAGGCAGCACATCCCCCTCCCTGGGGATCAGCTCTTCCCACCTCGGGATGCGGCGGCTCCGTCCACCGGCTTTTCCTTGGCTGCAGGAGCGAGGTCTGAGAGTCCCGGTCAGGCCACCTGGGTTTTTCCAGCAATGGTTATTATTTTCTAAGAAATTCCAGCTGGAAAGAGGCTACTTAGCTCAGTTTGGGCTGCTGGAATCCCAGCGGTGTCATCCCTGGCTCCGCTCCCTGCTTTCGAGCATCGGAGTGTCTTCCAGCCAGGTCGGGGAATGAGGTGACCCCAAAACCTCTGCCCTGCTCCCATATTCCATGGAAACTGCCCCGTGCCACGGATGCCATCCTGCATCCATCCCCAGGCAGCACAAGGAAGGAGTCAAGAAAATAGTGTTAATTTATTAGACAACACCCGCGACTGCACCGTCCGGAATCCGGAATCGGCGCCGTCCAGAACCTGGAATTGGCACCTTCGCCTTCCCCACGGCTTTTACACCTCGAGGCATCGGAGTTAAAAAATAAAGAGATCTGGGGTTTTTTTAATGCTACAAAGGTCCCAGCCGGAAGCAGAAGTGCCCTGCGGGAGCATTCCAAGCGGGAAAGGGGCCCGAGGTCGGTCCCCAGGATGGAGCAGCATCCTTGGCAAGCTGGGAATGGGGACTGTAAACTTCCTACACATCTAGGGAGGGCCATGGAGGGGAGTCACAGTGACATGGACACGAGGTCCGGGGGGTGCCCTCGCCAGGAGAAGATCAGGGACCCTCCTCTGTTTTTGGGATGCGGCACCTCCGTCTGCGGCGTTTCCTCGGAGTGAGTTTTGGAGTCTTGGCCAGGCCACCTGCAGTTTTCCAGCCATAATTATTATTTTCTAGGAAATTCCAGCTGGAAAGAGGTCATGGAGCTCAGTTTGGGCAGCCAGGAGAGGACGAGGGAGGTGGAATTCCGCTGCGGAACGGCCCCGGTGCCTGGCGCAGGAGCGGGAGAAACCCTGGAGGAAGAGCCCCGCCGGTTCCTCCTCTTCCTCTGGATCTTCTCCCGCTTCTCCTTCACCACCTCCTCCCTGCGGGACCACCACGACCGTGGTCCCAGAGCTGCTGTGCCGAGGGTGTCCCGCGGGATCCCGCCCGCCGCATCCCTCCTTTTCCCGGGATCAATAAATAAAGGCCATCGTCTGAGGGTGGCACGGGAGGGCCCCGCGCCCGCTATCTCAGGGCCATGGCCATCCTGGGGGTGGCAAAGAGGGGTTCGTTGAGGGGGGGCCAGCCCGGCTGCTGCTGGCTCAGCTCCTTCTCCAGCCTCTTGAAGAGCTTCTTAGAGGCTTTTTTCCGGCGTATCCTGCGGCAGCAGCGGAGCAGGCCATGGTCCAGGGCGGTCTGGGGCAGAGACAGGTGGGAAAACAGCTTTGGGGAGGATGTTCCTCAGGAGAGGGTGGAGCTGACGGTGAGGGGAGCCCTGTCCCCCCTGGAGGAGCCCCTGAAGGTCCCCCGGCCCCTCCCGTCCCACCCGGCCCCACCTCCAGCACGAAGGCGGCGAAGAAGTTGAGGGCGGCGATTCCCAGCAGCAGCAGCTTGAAGTTCAGGTCCTCGATGCCGTGGAGCTTCAGGAGGGTTTTGGGGAAGCCCAACGGGTAGAGCGTCAACCAGATCATGAGGCCAAAGAGCAGGACGAGGACGAGCAGGAAGAGCACTGAGGGCGAGAGGGGAGAGGGTGAGGAGGAGGAGGAGGAGAAGGAGGAGGAGGAGGAAGAGGAGGAGAAGGAGGAGGAGGAGGGCTGGGGGGTCTCTGTGCCCCCGTGGCAGCCCCACCCTCACCGTTGGTGTAGAGGGGCTCCCGGAAGGGGTATCCCTTGGACATGGCCACGGCCAGGATGAGGTACTGGAAGCCGCTGACGCAGAACAGGACGGTGTTCTCGTAGTTGGGCAGGTTCTGGGGGGCTGTCACTGTGCTGTTCAGGGGGACGAACCTGAGCCGGGGGGGACGGAAGAGGGGAAGGGGAGAAGAGGGTCTCAATGTGACTCCTGGTTTTCCACATTCTGCCTTGGGAGGGGATGGGGAGGGGCGGGTCCTGAGCTCCTCTCCCTGCTGACAGGACCCAGGGAACGGCTGGAGCTGTGTCAGGGCAGGGTCAGGTTGGATCTCAGGAAAAGGTTCTTTCCCCAGAGGGTGGTTGGCACTGACCAGGCTCCCAGGGCAGTGCCATGGCCCCAAGGCTGCCAGAGCTCCAGGAGGGTTTGGACAATGCTCTGAGGGACAGGAGGGGAATGTTGGGGTGTCTGGGCAGGGCCAGGAGCTGGACTGATGATCCCTGGGGGTCCCTTCCAGCTCAGGACATTCTGTAATTCCATGTCTGCTGCCAGACAGCTGGAGGTATCCTGGATCCCAAAGCCAGAACAAGTACCTGGACTCCATCACAACCTGTGTGCCATTCCCATCACCAAACCCACATGAAGGCATGGGATACCAGGAAGAATTCCTTCACAGAAAGGAATTCTAAAGCACTGTCACAGGCTGTCCAGCACACTGGTGGAGTCACCATCACTGGGAGTGTTCAAAAAATGTCTGGATGTGGCACTTGGGTTAATGGTGAACGTGGTGGTGGTGGACGAGTACCAGGGCTCCATCACAACCTCCATGTCCTTCCCATCCCTAAGGAAGGGGAAGTTTAGATTGGATATCAGGAAAAATCCCTTCACAGAAAGGGTGTAAAGCTTTGGAAGAGGCTGCCCAGGGTGGTGGTGGAGTCACTATCCTTGGAAGTGTTCAGAAAATGTTGGGATGTGGCACCTGAGGACACGGTTTAGTGGTGAACGTGGTGGTGGTGGACAAGCACCAGGGCTCCTCCACATCGTTCCCATCCCTAAGGAAGGGGAGGTTTAGATTGGATATCAGGAAAAATCCCTTCACAGAAAGGGTTGTAAAGCTTTGGGAGGGGTTGCCCAGGGTAGTGGTGCAGTCCCCACCCCTGGAGGGGCTCCAAACCCGTGCGGCTGTGGCACGCGGGGACACGGTTCAGTGGCGAGCACGGGCGGACTCGACCTCAAAGCTCCTGTCCAACCTCCACAGCTCCTCCCTCCCGGGGTCTGGGGCCTCACCAGCTCTGCGAGACGGTGATGAAGTAGCTGAGGACCTGCACAGTGATGAGCAGGGCTGTCTGCAGCAGGAGGCTGCCCAGCACCAGGGCGCTGATGAGGGTGCCCGGGGGCCGCGCCAGGCCCAGCGCGCGGGCGGGGCCCGTGCGGCCCATCAGCACGGCCACCGTGGTGGTGATCACCAGGTCGAAGAACAGGAACTGGAAGTCGCTCAGGTTGGTGTTGAGCTGGGGAGGAGAAGAGCCCCGAGGGCCTTGAGCAGGGCCAGGTCCAGAGGCAGCAGGGAAGGGGTGGCCGGGGCAGGGCGGGAATTTGGGACTCACCGTGTAGAGCAGCAGCACGGACACGAACTGCACGAGGCTGTACAGGGCCATGTACTTGAACACACCAAAGGAGGTGACCAGGGAGCACCTGCCCTCCCTGCAGGGAGAGATTCACACAGAACGTCCTGAGCTGGAAGGGACCCCCAGGGATCACGGATCCAACCCCTGGCCCTGCCCAGACACCCCAACAATCCCCCCCTGTCCCTCAGAGCATTGTGCAAACCCTCCTGGAGCTCTGGCAGCCTTGGGGCCGTGGCACTGCCCTGGGGAGCCTGGTCAGTGCCAACCACCCTCTGGGGGAAGAACCTTTTCCTGATGTCCCACCTGACCCTCCCTGGCACAGCCTCGTGTCACACCAGACCAAAGTTCTGCAGGAGAGATCCAGCACCTGCCCCGCTCCAACAAAAGGTGGCATCTCCTACCTCCACCTGCCACATTCCTCCAAGGGAGGACACATTTAGTCACTGCAGACCCACCCAAAAACCAGCAGCATGAGGAACACATGAAATGGGAGACCTGATCTTGGCTGGCACCTCCCAGTGCCATCCTTCCCACCCCAACCTGCCTGGAACGGTGCCAGCCATGGTCCCAAGCTGGCACTCACCGGGACAAGGTCCTTCACCACGTACATGTGGGCCAGAGTTCCTGACACCCACCCTGAGCCTGCCCTGCCCCAGCTCCAGGCCATTCCCTGGGTGCTGTCCCTGTCCCCATAGAGCAGAGTTCAGGGCCTGCCCCTCCTGTTCCCTGGAACTGCAGCGAGGTCTCCCCTCACCCCCAGCCACACCCTGCTCCCGACCATCCCCCCGAGGGCCAGAGGAGCTCTCCCGTGGCCGTTCCCCCCGAGCTCACCGGATCACCCTGGGCACACACTCGATGTTGGCCACGCGGGACGTGAAGGGCGATGCCACCGACGCCTCGGCCTCGGACAGCGAGATGCCCACGTCGGCCGCCCGCAGCGCCCCGCAGTCGTTGGCCCCGTCCCCGCACATCCCCACGCAGTAGCTGCACAGGGAACCAACACCCTCAGCAGGGGGAAAACCCCCAGGATCTGCCCAGGGAACCAACACCCTCGGCAGGGGGAAAACCCCAGGATCTGCCCAGGGGAGCCGTGGCTGTCCCAGCCCGGGGAGTGTCCAAGGCCAGGTTGGAGCAACCCGGGATTGTGGAAGGTGTCCCTGCCCACGGGATTGGATGGCTTCCAACCTGACCCATCCCATAATTCCACGACTAACCCCTGCCCCCCACCCCCCGGGCCTCACTTGAGCTCCTGCAGGCTGCACACCAGCTGAGTCTTCTGCTCGGGCAACATGCGGGCGAACACGGTGGCTCGGAGCAGGATCTGCCAGGGACGGGAGAGCCCGTGTCCATCCCAGAGCACCCCCAGCCCTGTGCCCAGGGGGAGCTCAGGGGCACAGGGAATCTCACACCCCCACCCCTGTGTGCCCAGGAGATGCTCGGAGGGCGCAGGGAATCTCACACAGGCCACAAAAACACTCTCAGGGAATTTTGTTTTGGAGCTGTGAGGCCACACTGGGAAAGCCCAGGGAGGTCAGCCTT